CAATACTACATATATATATAAAGTAGCGGAAAAAGAAAATACTAGAGTGAAGTACACAAACCTCAAAATTGTTTTAATCTTAAGTTTGATATAACGTATTTACTTTTTGACTGAAGGTAAAAAAACAATACACATTAAAATAAGTTGATTTAAATCAAACAACAAGAGAATACAAACTTTAACAGCAAAGACTTGGGGATTGTAAGATTGCCTGTCATAAGTAATACACAGTCATGTGCACAAGAAACAGAGTGGAGCTTTGAGAGGTTTATTTACATGGAAGTGGATCAGACTACATCATGCTCTAACTGTCCAACTCGGTTAAGAAATTGCGTCGCTTTGGAAGCCATAAGACTGAGGAAGTTTACTCTGCATGAGAGCCATCCCTCATTGCTGGTGTAGGCTCCTGCTGAAGTCTGCATATCCCGCACGCCGCCTTGTTAACCCAGAAAACCCTAATGACTTCCCCTCTCGCTGCCGAGCCATACTGTGAAGTCATCCATGTTTCCATGTAGCCTAAAGTAAGAAGAGGAGTGAGAAGGAGAGGAAAGGAAACTAGACGGGATGGAGGACAACCGGTACCACTAATGAGGTGTGCTCTGATGGCATGAATCCTCTTTAGAGTAAGCAGCATTTGAGTGGTTATCCCCCAATGAGCATATATTATAGCCACATATAGGAGCATATCCTGCCCCACTCAATGTTTCTCCATCTTTCTACTCTAAGCTTTGATATTTCTCCGGACTCCACTTCAATGATGGAAAAATTGTTAAATAACTGATTAGACTCATTTCTTGCCTTTCCTTAGAGGGTCACACAAAATAGGAGACAGAGAAGGCGGGAATGTAGCAGCGCTGCCTTTGCAGGCCACAGAAATGTTAGTTGTATTTTATCACTGTTTTACATCACTGTCAGCTCGTGAACATTGTTGTTGAAGAAATCTCACATACTGTTTGAATGATTCAGGGTTTAGGAACCAAGAACTAAAACTAATGGAAGTTGGAAATCAATATAAATCAAAAAAGTTCTATTCATTAAGTATCAGCTACTTTTTATGTTATCATTCTAATGGTAACACTACAAGACAACAAATCTGTTACTCTTTTTTATATTTTCATCTTTATTGATTGATACGCAGTCTATGTCCTTCATGTAGATGGTTTGAATTCTCGGTATGGCAATTGTTTGTCGCCATCTTGTGGCTGAATGAAGCTGTCTCTAGTTCATTTATGTATGTAAATGACACACGCACACACACACACAATTCTTCAAATACATGACGACACATACGGCATGTGAATAACTCACAAATATAAGAAATATACACAAATACACACTTGAGTGATGGTGTGCATATTCACACAAAAACACAGTAATAATATAAACCACCACAAATAAAACAATAATACATATCTGCACGCACACATGGGCAGAGCTAAATGTGAGAAATACTGGAAGGTGTTTTTTCTCTGCAGACATTTCGACTGAAGTACATTCGTTACTATTAACATTAACGATGGCTCTGTTATATTCAAGTGCCCCAGTAAACCACATGAGTCTGACAGTGAACCAACATGAATAATACCACTCAAGCATCTAAATGGAATTCAGCCATCATTCATTTTATTATCAACGCCTGTGCTTTTTACTGTAACATAAATGTCTTCAGTGAAAAATACCTAATATGTAAGCATAAATGCACACACACGTGCAAACACACATAAATGTGTGGCACGATGACAGTATAGATATGGATACGGAGGGGTAGTAATAATAAGCAGAAGTAGGCTACAACACAGTGAATATAGTGAATATAGTGACATATGAACGTTAAAGCTGTAAATGAGACTAGGTTATCTGTGATATTTATTTGCATTAACTAACACCCAACCTGCAACTAGACTACTGTGCCTTTATTTTCAACCATCAAAACCCCCTTTACTAGCTTAACAACCGGGATTATGAATCCAGACAGTATAGTGTCCTTTCACTTCCGCCAAGTGAATGCTATGTATAGTCTGCCCACTGGTTTTGATGGGTAAGTCACATCTCTTGAAATGCCATTTCCAATTATTTTTTTATTTGCAATAAGCTAAAATCATGCTAAAATTCAAATAGAAAAGCTAAGTTTTTAATTTTGAGGTGGGTTATTATCTGCCAATTTGAAAATTAAATTGCAACTCAATTTCCCATTGCAATTATCAAATGGACCTGGGAGTCCTCTATTGTCAATATAGTCTCTATTTTCATTTTCAGTTTAGGCAGCAATGATGCATTTTTAAACATGAAAGTGAAACTTGAATGTATTAGTTTTCATTTAAATACTGATTAAAAGGTTGCAGCTTCAAGCTTTTGGTTTTCATCATCTGGAGCAGGGAGAAGTGCCAAAAAACAGCTAATAAATACAAGCGGATTCTCTAGTAGCCTCCTTTTTTTGCAGAAAAATGACTTTATTATATATATATTTATATTATTATTTATTGGTACATTTGATGATAATACTTCTGTGCTTTTACATAAGCAGGATTCTGAATGCTTTCATCTCTCCAAGGTTACAAACATAAAAGGACATTGATGTGGACTGCTTATTTGTCATCTTATTCCAAAGGATTTATGTCATCTATTTTGGTCTTGTCCACACTCACACATTTTCTTTGGCAGAATGTCTGCATATTTATTTCCCAGTTTATTGATTCTGGATTTTTTCCTCTTGCAGGTCATGTAGATTGTAAATAATGTATTCGGTAAAATATACTAATATAGCATCTTTGTTTTTGTGATAATTATGTAAATAGAAATAAAATCCATCCACCCATTGTAGTTATAGTCCATTGTTACTTATCACTTTTTATTTCATTTTTTTAACAGTGGTAGTATATTAAGAATATACTATTGTGTGAAATTGTATTTTGTATCATGTACAAGTTGAACACAGTTATTAATACAGGCACATATCCTCAAAAGGGTTTTAGTTTTTCAGATACCTCCAAGGTAGAACAAAAACCATAAGTCAACCATGTTTTTTCATAATTTTGAATCATAGAATATCAGGCTATAAATTATATAGTGCATGAATGTCATGAAAAGATCATTCTAAAGTATGCCATGGAAAAAATATATAGTATGTCCAAATAATATAAAACAAATAGTATGCCATGAATTGTCATGGACATTAAAAATAACATAAAAATGAGTAATACAGTATGCCATAATAAATGTCATATAATTGCCATGCTATAGTATCCCATAATTAGTCGTAATGTGGTATGCCATACAAATGTAATGAAAATACTATGTTAAAATATGCCATTCAAAAATAATACAGTATCTATAAAAATATCATATTATGATATTCCATAAGTTGTCATGGTCATAAAAATATCATTAAATGAATTATATAGTATGCCATAATTAATAATAATAGAGTAGAACATTATAAATGTCATAGTATAGTATGCCATACAAATTCATTGTATAATATTGCATAAAACCTCATAATATTCTATGCCATTAAAAAACAATAGTATGGTATGTCAGAGAAAAATGTCATGGTATGCATGTATGTATTTCAGAAGAAAAATCAGTAAAAACTCATAATGCAGTTTCCAAGTTTCTTCACTCACTTCATCCACGTCTCCGTCGTCTTCTTCTTGTCCTTATACTGTATGAATGTATGATGTGTCATAAGGGGTCACTTCTGTCACATTTTTATAAAAATAATCATGAACATATATGGTTTTCTGTTCCATAACCTCCTCCTTCTATATCTTTGCAACAACAGGATGGGTCACATCTCATACTCCCTAGTCCACCTTTGCGATGGTGCTCTGGACACTGCTGTCCTCACATCGGTGAGGACTCAAACCCAGCACTGGTAACTTCCATAATGGGAACTAACCAACTGTGTTACCAATGCCGCACACACCTAGAACTAATCTCTCTGTGTATTTTACTCTTTCAAAGCTGGTGTTAGGCGTCAAAACTCACTGCACCACACAAGGGATTGAACTCACAACCTCATCTCTTCAGACTACTTTTTCTGAGCTATCTGATCTGGCATGCCAAGCCAGTGTTTGGTATCATATTCAACCTCTTCACTGTGGGTGGCAGACCTAAAAAAAACACTGTAATACTTCAGGATAGAACCAACAAACATAGCTTTGTAGACCACACTGCTATCATCCTGAACTATCTAATCCGACACGCTCCGCTGCTGTTTCGTAGCATATTTGACTTCTTCACTTTGGGTGTTGGAACTTAAAATTCACTGCACCATTCAAGGATTGAACACACAACCCTTCTGTCTTCAGACTAGTCTTCAATCACTCTGAGCTGCAAGATGTCTGACACTCCACTATGGTTTTGTAGCATATTTGACTTCTTCACTCTGGGTGTTGGACGTTAAAGTCCACTGTCAACACAAGAATTGAACCCACAACCTCAGATCATGACATTTTTATGACACTTTTTATGCCATACTATACTATGACATGTTCATGGCTATCACTTTGAATTACATTTTTTATTACATTTTTAATGGCATACTATACTCTGACGGTTGATGTAATTAATGTGGCATATGTTTTTTATGGCAAAGTACACTATTACTCCTTTTTTTTTACATTTATTTGGCCTAAGACAATTTTGGGGCATTTTATACTCGCATTGTTATTCCACCTTTTATGTCATACTCTGCTCCAACGTTTTTTCTGAAACCCTTCATAGTATGCCATATATACACACATATATGTATATATTACATATACATATACACATATATACATGTATATACTGTGTGTGTGTGTGTGTGTGTGTGTGTGTGTGTTGTGGCTGTAGTGACCCCTTGCGGTCTGAAGTTGCTGTTTCAACACTCTGTTACCATTGGTTCAAAATGTCCCCATCGTTTCTTCACCAATGGCACCAGTCTTACTTCTTCTCTCGGAGCCTTTTTTTGCATGCATGCTCCTCCCTCCAACCCCTCCTCCTCCTCCACACACACACACACACACACACACCAACCCCCTGTGATGCCAACCCCTCCATTGCTGGTCAGCGGCATGTCTGTCTGTCGAGGCGATATAATCTAAACCCAACATGGAGCAGACGATGTGTTGACGGAGATGCGACGGTGCATGAAAAAGGTAGTCGAACCTCTCACGTTATGAATATCGACCCGCCTGCTTGCAGTTAGCCAATAGCGCTAACCCCAACTCTCTGTTCTCTGCCCTCTCCGTGCACTGCTATTGTTGCACATTAAACTGATGCGAGCATTTCTTTCATCGCAAAAAAATAATCACGTCTTTCGTGTCGTTTTTTTTAAAGACAGCTGGCCTCCGCGCGGCGGGATGAAGTATGTGCGACGATAAACGCGCAGAGAGAAATCTGAGTCAACGTAATCCTTCTGAGCATCGGGGGAGAAGATGAGGACCGCGATGGCTTCGATGAAAACAACATTATTCGTACTTCTACACTGGGGTGAGTAACGCCAGCCGTGCGGTCTGCGTTGTACCTGTTTGCTCTGCACACAATTACTAAAAACCGCCTCACACGGAGATGCATTTGCATGATTGTTTCTTCAAGCCGACCAATTCATTCATTTAGATTCATTTGGCCCCTTTTATTCCTCTTTATTTTGAAATTATTTTTGCCTGTAAACGCTTCTTCTGCGGTACACTTCATCACATTCTTGTGGTGGTCTGCAAGTTTATTACCTTCAATCCAAAGTGTCAGATAGGACAGTCCACCATCAAACACAAACCCCTGAGGACCACAGGTTGTGTCAGGGAAACAGGTGTTTTTGGACAATAAAATTGGCTAGTGGTGGCATCCAGGAAGTCCCAAGCAAAAGTATCCACATCACTAGGGCTGTTTAATGGTGTTCACACAATGGTAAACATCATAGTTGTTTTATGGGAGTGATACCAACCCTCATTTTCCAGGTTGTATTGTTTGACTCCAGTCATTGTATGCACAACCCAAACACGCAGAGCAGATAAAGCTGAATGCATTAACATGTCTTCTGTTTTCAACTTTGCACCTCACGTTTAAGATAGTTCTTCATTGTTTGACAGTTTAGACATAAGTAGAACATATCAGACCGAGTCACAGTTTTTTTATCTCCCTGCGCACGGCATTATTAATCACATAATCTTATCTAATAACCAAGTAGACATGGTTCCTTTTTTTCAGTCCTGTGGTCCAACATGCATCTCTTTGTGGGTTCTTAGTATGAGAAGTTTGGGGCCCCGCTCCTCCGTGTTGCACAGTATCCACTCCAGACAGTATTGAGCCTTGTCCCGAGCTGTGGTGTCCCCCTGCCCTATCAGTCCAAGCCCAATGTTAATTAGGACTTGATCCGCTTAAGCCTCCCACTCGTCTCCCATGTCATTATGTAGGGGCGTGTTATTGTCGGGTGGTGGCTCGCCTGTGAGAAAGCTCCAGTTGTTTTAGGTCTGACGCATACACAGACACACACACACACACACACACACACACACAGACGGGGAGTGCCAAAACGCACCCATCTAGTATTTCTAGTTGTTCAGGTAGTTTTATCAGTCGTAGGTGACGTTTAAAGGCTGCGTGTTAGTGGGTCGGACTGAGTGTCGGTTAGTTGACTGTTATGTTGGGATGATCACATCTGATTTGCATTTTTATTTTCTCAGTTTTTGGGGGAAAAGCGAGCACTGCTACTTGGTATCAGCCCAAAATCTGAGATTAAGCATCTGAATTGTATTGCTACTTTTACCATATACAACTTCCATAGTTTGTACTCTTAAATTCCATTTTTGTTAAATTTTATATTTTTTCTTAAACTTTATTCAAATTTTCTTCCTTATGTTGTTTTTCTTGTTAGCATTTGACTTGTTAGTCGGTTAAAATGACCTGAAAAATCTGTCTTGCTGCAAAAAATGTGTGATTTGAAAGTAATTTGTGTATAATAATAACACAAATCGCTTAAAGGGGGAGCAAGTCTGTAGAGCCAGCCTAAAAACACGCTTCATGATGTCTCAGTTTCCTTCTTTTAAAATAGGAAATTATGACTTTGCGTAAGTACCCTTATCATGAGAGAATATCAATGGCGTGAGAAGTTTCAATGCCTGCGGCTAAAAAGAGTGTTTCAGTATTTAAATAGCTCGGCCTGAGCCTTCAGACTATTTCGGAGGGTTTTTGGGGAAGTTAGTGATGAACCAGCCAGACAATATGAATCAGTGAAATATCATGATTCTTGAACCTGGAAGCTTGAAACTCCCGAGGCACTCGCACTGAATATTCATACTCATACAATCCCTCATGTTACCAGGTGTCTATTGAACAGTAAGGACAGCGGGATAGAGTTAATTCTATTTTTTCCCTTTCTGTGTGATTGGCAGTTTCAAGATTCACTCCTTCCAAAAACAATGCGCTCAATGACCATCACTTTTTGCTGGTTTGAGCACTGAATATTAGCATCAGCACTTTTTGAATGCCACTTTTCTGGATCACTGTGTTGCAGTGAGAAACACCAGTTTCAGCAAATCTTACTCACTGCAGCACTGTGAGAGAACAAACTGCTTTTATTTGTTTTTTAGTGAACTCTTCCTTTTAAGGGTTTTTCAATTGCGAGATATTAAAATCTCTATGGTGTGATTTTCTGCGGGGGTATGCACCAAACAAAGATGTTTTCTTAAGTCTGTAGAATATGATGTGTGGACCAGGACAATATTTCATTTAAAATGGTATTTTGACACGCATTACTCCTTTAACAAATAATGCGCCTGCTGGGATTTTAAAATTGAAGTAGGCCATTTTGATTAATTGTGCAGCCCTAATTTGAGCTAATAGACTCACATAGATGATAGTATTTATTTATGAATGTGTCATTGCCCTGCCCCAGCTGGAGTGTTTTTTTCTCCTCCACTATTTAACGTATTGATTCACTGTTAGCCAGTCATCAGCTCAGGATATTGATCTGTGAGTCCATGTAGCAAACATGCTGCGAGGCGAAGCTGTGACCCACAGAAGTTCACATTGTTACCGTTTCCAGCCCGTCCTGCCCGTTGGTCACCGTCTTTCACACTCTTTGCTCTCTCTCCCTTTTTCTTTTCACAGGGCTCCAGTGCGCTGTGTGTCGCGACATATTTCTTCCTCCTGGGACCTTGTACCGCGTGGCAGGGTTCCCCCTCTCCCTGCCCTGTGCCGTGTCAGGATACGATGGCCCACGTACGCAGGACTTTGAGTGGTTCCTGATCAGGGATGACGCCAATGGAAGGCAGATGGGAGTGGTGTCCACCAGGGACAAGGGCTTCCCTTACGCCCCTTTCCAGGCCCGGGTGAAGAGTGGGGAGGTGAGGGTTGAGAGGGACTTGGGGGACAAAGTCCGGCTAGTGATCCAGAGGCTCCGAGCTGACGATCAGGGGAAGTATGAATGCTACACACCCAGCACGGACATCACCTACCAGGGGAACTACAGCGCCAAAGTGCCTGTCAAAGGTAAGAGATATATCTTGGTAGAACATGGGAGTTCTATGGCACAGAGGAATAATTTCCATCATACTTGTTAGTAAAATCAATTTATTTTTTGGTTTTGGTCCTTTCATGGGATTTGTTCAATATAAGGAAAATGGAGAATATCCCTGGAGAGGGGAAAACAGGGGCAATAAACAAATCCATGAAATAAATAAAGAAAAAAGATGAATAAAACATAACCCTGATGATTGCAATAATATGATCTAAAACATGGCAAGATCAGCCTTCAGCATCTTCCTGTTTTGTTCTTTCAGCGACTAGTTCTAGTCGGTACCAAAACTATTATTATGCATCACCAACCTCTGCTGCAAAATCTCAAACGGTACCCAGTGCTAGTCCCGACACGATGGCTGTCACAGTTCAGCCGACACGCAGTGGAAACCAGCACACTGTATTCCAGTTTGTTTCGGGGGTTATTGCATCTCTGCTCTACATCAGCCAGATGAATGACGTTTATTAATCATACTCTGTGTTTAACTTGGTGCTCGATGACATTCCTCATGTATAAGCTCTTATTTACACTTGCCATCTGGAGTTTTTCTTTCTTTCTACGAAGATCCATCTGCTCAAGCTATCCACTATATTTTGGCAATTTTCGACCATCCACATGGTTACCAATCCTGTTTCTATTTTTCGTGTACCACTACGTTTATGTTTGTAGGATGCAGGGTGTTTGTTAGGCAGCTTAAGAGTTTTATCTTCATAATAGCTGGCTAATCTAGCTTTGGCAAAGCTTGAGCCCCAAAGCTAAGGTTGGTAAACGGCTCGCAGTCACTCTCAGTAACCACATTTCATGACTCGCTTTAGTGTTCTAAACATAGAAACGGCAATAGAAATTAGATTTGGTCCATTTCTTTCCCCTCCCACCTGGCTCCTGTTGATGTAATTGTCTGTCTGCCTCTTTATACACCCGCAGTGATCCCTGATACGCTCCAGATCAGTTTTACCCGCTCACTCACCGGCCAGCCCGTGCCAGAGGGGGCCGAATTAACGCTGACATGCTCAGCCGGCATCCAATCGGAGCAGCTCACCCATCTGTCCATCACGTTCGGGAAGCGCGGTGCTGGAGAGGGTTTGGATAGCGGACCGGGAGGGGAGGTCAGCACCGCCAGAGAGATTATCTCCGTCGACAAGCTCCTGGGGGTCGTCCCCGGACATTCGTACAAGAAGCGGTACGATGACGGAGAGATCACGCTGGAGAAGAGGAACGGGGAGGCGGGACTGGACGTGTACGTGATGAAGATGAGAGCGGTGCAGCCACAAGACACCGGCACGTATTTCTGCGAGGCCTCCCAGTGGATCCGGGACCCTGATCGATCGTGGCAGAAGATAGCACAAAGGATGCTGGATATTGGCAACTTGACCGTTCAGCAACTAGGTCAGTGTAACTGGGAAACTGTGCCAGTGTTTGTGCTGACATTTGCTAAACACATTGACGGCTTGGGGCGAGTGCCATTGGTCATACTGCAACCAGCATGTTGCACAGATATTTGGTTTGCAGTTAATTGTTCAAACAACAGACATTTGATGAAGTTAGTAAGACAATCTTTATAAAACACTGAGAAAAGAACATCGTTGGCCAAATAAACCGGAGACAATGAAAGCAAAACAGCTGAAGTTTGGTTCCTGCTGGTCACTTCTTCTCTCTCAGTGGCGTCAGTCGGCCTGGACTTGTGTTGCTGTTGAGTACATTGGACTCTTTCCAGGTTTCAGGCTGAAGCTCTGGATGTTTGTGTTACTTACAGCTTAACCGAATGTCTAGCCTGCTGGCTGGCGAACTGAGCGGTTTACTGACAGGACAGATAGCGGAGCTGATTAAACATGTAACTGGATACACATCTGTAGTCAGCTTGTTGGCTGAAGGAGTGTTGGGCTTTCTGATTAGCTGCCCCTGGATGACTGGGTTTTTCCTCCCGTGCTGGGTGGAAGGATGTACATATTACTATTATATCTTACTATTGTACTACTCTCTTGTTAATCTCGTGATCGATTGATCGGACGATTATTTTCTTGATTAATCAATTCATCTTTTGATCTGTAAAACAGTGACAGATGCCCATCACAGTATCTTCAGACTCTGAGGTGACTTTATCAAATGTCTTGTTTGACTCTACTATACTAATAACTATAATGTAAGGCTACAAAAAGCAGCAAATTCTCACATTTGAGAACCTTGCAACTATCAAAATTCTACTTACTATGTGTCCGCTGTCAAACTGTCTGACTGTTGAACTTGATGCTCAGCTCTCGCTGATTATCCCGCTGGATCTGAGGGGTCGATAGCCGGCTGGCAGAGCAGCAGAATAACTGCCTCGCTGCTTGGCTCAATTTAAATTCTAAAGAGCTGGTGTAGGTCTGAAGGATTAAGCAATCTTTCCTCCCACCGTGGCTTCTTGTAGCCCACAAAGAGGACGACTGTCTCTCTGTCAGACTGATGTGTCCATTAGTGTCAGAACAGATCTGTCCTTCTTAAAACTGCTTTAATATCTTAGATAGGGACGTTAACATGCGGTTACATAGAGGATATGGTCCTGATATGTATCTATGAAAGTGCTTTTTAAAGTTTAATATTGAATTATTCAAAACTACATTTTTATAAATGTTCTTTTAATGAACCTGTGTTGCTGATGAGTCTCAGTACTTAGTAACTACTTATTGGAGCTTAAAGTTATTTAGGTCAAATTCTTTTCTCTTCAGCAATAAAAGTGGAGCTGAAGTTGAAGCATTTAATCAGTGCATGCATTGTTTCTCTGATGAGCACTATATAGCTCTGTATTTTCTGGCCCCTGTTGTCTGACGAATACAATAGTCTTATGCGTCTCCTTTTGTTTGTATAATGTCTCTATTATTGAGCAGATCTGTGTTGTGGTTAAATGAGGCTTCGCTCACACAATGGACCAGTGTTGATATCTTCCATTTATACCCAGTTATATCAGTACTTCCAATATGAAACTTCTTCAATTCATGAAACAAATTTGCACTTCTCGTTTGTGCTGCACCTTCTGCTGTAGAGCGTTAAATGTTTCTGATTTTGCCAACATGCTCAAGTTTCTTTCATTGAGCAATAATAGAAAAGGGCAAAGTGGTTATCCATTTTATCTTGGCCATTAAGTATGTAATGTACAAGAGAGGCCACTCTAGCTTCTCCACAGAAACCCACAGTATATCGCTTCCTGTGAAACGTTTTACTGTCACAGTCTGAGTGCTTGTTTGAGGCCCTCCACCGAGGAGGATTTCCTGTGCTTTCATTATTACTAACCCGTCTCCCTCCACCTCTTCCATTCCCCAGCGGAGTCTCTGAGTATAACGTCCTCGCCCAAGGGGGAGGTGACCCTGCAGGTGGGCTCCCCTCTCATCCTGACCTGTGAGGTGTTGGGGCTGCCGTCTGAAGTAAACGCGGGCCTGCTGGTTCAGTGGATGAAGAGGGGATCGGTACGCAGCGATGTAGCCTGGAGCGGTGGAGTCGAGGTACCGATTCTCATTCTGCTGACTCATTTGTATTATTGTTTATTGCTCAGTGTGTGCGATTGTATACAGTAGAACAAGTTGCCGTGTTTGTTTTGTACCTGCACAGTATTATTGAGGGATACTGAGACATTGTATTTGACGTTGTGAAGGTGGAGGTGGCCCGGATGAGCCCAGACGGCGTTGTGAGCTGGGGGGACGACCTCAGCCGAGCTAGCGGGGGCTCTATGGAGAAAGTGGCCGAGGGGAGGTACTCTCTGAAGCTGTTCTCAGCCCAGCCCTTAGACTCGGGGGTATACCGGTGTGTGGTGAGCGTGTACGCTGGAAGGACAAACCCCGGCGAGTTTACTCCTGCAACACTCACCCAGAGGTCTGAGGGAGTCACCGTCAACCTCAAGAGCAAAGGTGAGAGCTGCTACTCGCGTCCCCAGTGACACGCAGGCTTCATCTATATCAGTGATTCCTATTTCTTTCCACTGCTGGTTACATTCTCTTCTCGAGGACCTCTGCATTTGTTTGGTGTAAGAAATTATTTAAAAGTATGGAACATCAGGGATATGCAATAAGTCAGTGTAGCATTCTGATGCTTAATGGTAAACTGCCAACTGGAATCTGTGGCTCGCTGAACTTTCAGTTTTGTCGAACTGACAGTCACGTATGTTCAGTTCACCCTCTATAAACTATTCTTTCAATCTACCACTTCCCTCCACAGATGTGCTCGTTGCAGCCGTGGCTCAGCTCCCTCGAGGGCCCCTTTTAAAAAGAGGCAGCACTATCACCCTGATTTGCAACGCCACTGTGACGACCACAGGCCCCGCCCAGGCACAGGTGCAGTGGCTGCGGTGGCCAATCCCTGAACGAGTTGTCAAGAAGGTACCGAGCCCAGCATCTGATGTTGCTCTACCGGACCCCCCTGTGGTGCAAAAACCCAGACTGGTAGCTGCCCTCATGTACGACGGTGTCGCAGAGATCTATGCCAACGGTAGTGAGGTTAGCGTCGACCGCCTGTCAGCCGGCAGCTACAGACTGAGGGTCCACGCAGCAACAATCGAGGATCAGGGCATGTATGCGTGTCATGCCCAGGCGTGGGGTCAGGACCAGCATGGAGGCTGGTACAACACGGGGGCCAAAGCTGAGTCAAATGCAGTGACTGTTTACCTGTATGCCAAAGGTAAGAGTCTCCCAGGATTTGTTTTTATGTAGTAACCAAAGTGATCTTGGATACGTGTAACGGATTACAAGCAGATGCAGTTTATTAACTATTTTTGAAGTGGTTTTGCTGAGATCATAGCTCTAATTTACACTCCAACACGCATACATTCACATCTGGAAGCTGCCTAGTACAATTACGGTTTGATCTGTCAGCTACTGAGCAGCTCCACTGGAGTACTGCAGGGTAAAGAGGCGAGTGCTGCTCTTCACCCTCCTTATCCAGATTTATCCTGGTGGTCCCAGGATTGAACTGGTGTACATAAATACCATTTAGAGGTACTTTACTTGAGTATTCACTTCACTACATATATATCAGAGCTATAGTTATGTTTCTTCTCAAAACCAAAAGATTTTACACGGAAAACCTACGATACCTAAGTTTATAAAATATGATCCATTGACACAGATTAAGCTACCAAAAAGAGTTCAATTTAGCTCCACCATGACTAACCACAGTACCACAGTAGTAATGATCCAATGATGTAATACTGTAACATTGACAGTAGCCACTCTGCGTTATGACGACTTTTACTTTTGATACTTTAAAAGTTCTCTGTACGGAATGAGATCCTTTCAGCAACGGCTGAGCCGATGGCAAGCAGCTAACGGTGCTAGCTGCACGAACAGTGAAAACTAAGGCAACAGTGCTGACAGAGCTAACAGTGTTTACCTGAGGGAGAACTGGAGGGTGGGCACTACGCTTCCTTGACACGTCAGGACTGCGTTATCAGTGGTAACTGCCATATGAGCGCAGTGCAGAGCGGCAGACATTAGCTAGCCAGTGGGGCAGAACAGAGAGACTCGCATGCACGCGCAGCCGGCCCGGCTATATAAACAAAGCACAGAGAAACTCGGGTTACAACACACACAGAATGAGAGTGCCTTCATTCTCTGCTGAAGGTAGACATTGCTCCACTATATCTTTATGTAGCAAATAGTTGTTTGCTGCAATATTAACACTCTGAATGTTGAATAGAGAACTTTTAAGTAAATTATTTGAATACTTCTTCCACCACTGACCTTCGGTCACAAGCTGGAGGGCAGAGCAAGTGTAAACGTCAAGTCTTTATTCTTGACCTTGAGAAGTGTCTGTACATTTTAAGTAGCAGATAGCAGGACATGGTTCCCCTGTATTTACATCTTAAATATGTACATAGGCACGTTCCTGTCCCATGAAGCAGTAATTTAATATTGTGGGACTTTGAACTCAAGGACCAAGAGGACCATTTTTACTGTCCCACTGGAAAATCTGAAGTTACTAATCAATTATCAAAAAAGTTATTTTGATCAATTAAATGACTTATTGTTGCCGCCTCAGTAAGTTTTTGTTTTGTTTTTTTGTTTGTTTTTTTTAATGTCAGTGTATATCAGCATTTAAAAGGAATATCATTTTGTGAAAATATGGTGAATGGAGCTTGTATGGTAGATTTGGATCTTTATGCATTTTAATCATATCCAGTTAGTCAAAATATCCAGAATGTAATGAATCTAAAATATGTTTTATAATGTTTGTCAGAAGCACGACGTGATCAGATTCAGTCATCCAGCACGAGATGACTGAATCACGAGAGATCACTGAGCTTTACTTTATCCAGCAGGACAGTCCATTTATCTGCTTTTCATCAACATGTGTGCTGCCTGAAAGTATTATATAAAAAGTCTTTATCCGTATTGTTTTGAACCAAACAAATCGCTGTTATTCCCAAAGGAGACTATTTTTTTCTTGGTAATACAAAAGTAGATTTTCCCCATCTGAAAATGGATTATAATACGATTTAAATATTGTATTTTCTTTTACGAATGTATTTCACATCACTGCATCCTTCTATTATCTTTCAGCTGCTGACCTCATCCTCATCCCTTTGGTCGTCGGAGTCTCCTCTGCCTTGTTTGTGGGCATCGTCATCATCGCAACGGTAACCTGCTGCTTCATGAAGCGACTCGCCAGTCAGCGCGCTCAAAAATAGATGTCCGCAGTCTCCGCCTGTCTGAAATCTGAATGTTCGCGAAGAGGCACGAAAGAGGTGATGCACTGAAAATAATGAAAGAAATGGCAGAGAAACCACTTTCAAGACAAAAATGACTCGCCCTGTTTGACTATTTCTTTTGTGTTTTGACCAACCTGTTTAATAATCAATGCCAAAATATTCTGTTTTATATTCTCTTGTATTTTTATATCCAAACCTTCTCTGAGTATATTTTAGTGATTGCTGCATCTCGCACCAGTAGGCGTAATAATCTAGGTTTTTGAAGCCACCATCCAATGGTAGAAAGACTTTTTTATGTTGGCTTCATCCACCTTTTTGAGGATTCCTTTGTCCAAGCTTAGCATTGTTTCAAATGGAGAAGGGTAGAAGTACACAAGATTCGCAAGACTTTTGTGACCAGGTCAAAAGCACAGAAGGTACTTCAGGTTTCGAGTCTCTCAGATGTGAGGAAATGCGTTGGATGCTGTAAAATTTGTATATTTTCTACAGAAAAGCCAAGCAAACGGCCCCCTCAGAAGTCATAGTTTGATTGTTACAGTATAAAGCTACCAAACGGTTCTCAGCCTGTAATGGCTCTATTTTCACACATATTCTGTGTTTTCACGTCGATAATGTTCCAATTGTTCCTTCCCTCTCAAACTGCATGTATTTTTCTTTTCTTTTTCAAAAAAAATATCTCAATGTCTGTGAATGGTTAAGCCTCTAGCGCTGCCACTGACAGTCGCATGAATGCTGATGGGAGCAGTTCAGCCTCCAGAAAGTTAATATGCGCAGGGACCTTCCACCGCCTGCAGCCCAGCAGCACTCTGCATGTAAACACAGTCTCTGTCTGTTACTTAAGGAAGGCGCTGGCTGGGGGCTTTCTGATGCCAGAACCAATTGAGTATCAATTCTAAACACGAGCATTCTTCGCCTGTGACACTTCATGCTGAAGTGAGTTTTCTATACGGACTTGTATAGATTTGACAAAGAGAAATGGAAGAGATATCCATTATGCACTGAGCTAAAATATGTAAATAGTGTATGGAGTTTAGCTGTTTTATTTTTCTTAATGTGAGTAAGACTATGCTGTCTTTGACAGAGCACCAGTGTTTAACATTCTGCAGCAGTTTGTTCTTGTGAAGCACTTGGACACATACGGGACTGGGACCAAAGCCCCTCAGTATCCTTCTTTTACTTGATTTTCTTCCAGCTGAAAAGTCACTTCTTTGTTCTACTTGAGTGAATACTTCTGAGTGTTTTTCCTTCCCTTTTTTTTGTGAGCAATTAATGGTTCCTTTGCTCTTGTGACTGAGACAGATAAAACAGTACAGCGAAAAGTAGTCCTACTTGTGAAACTGACAACCAGAAAAACACGTTGTTTCACACTGATTAGGCAGCTTGTCCCTGAGGTTAAACTCTCCTGAGCAGCACATTCATATGACCTGAGAGTCTTGCTATCGTCGTCATCATGGGGTTTAGGCCACACATCTATGCAGCCAACTCATTATGACTATAGCCTCCGCTGCTAGCCCACAGTACAGATTTACTGTGTCTGCGCACTTATGAGTGAAATCCATCCTCCTCTTCCTGTCCAAAGTAACACTTAAGAAGAGTTTGGTCATGGGAGCGAGCCCCCATTGTCTGACCACTTACAGTTAGAGACATGTTTGAGGAAAGTAAAATGTGTTAACCAACTTGTGGGCAGTTAATTTTTCCTGCTTCTCTAAATTCGTTTGCACCGAGCTGTACTTTGCTGTCTCAGTCTGTCTTTACTGCCCGTCTGTCTCCCGGTGGGTTTTCAATGTGAGACTCCCTCTAAATCTGCCTGTCCTCTCGAACCTGTGCGCTGTAAACCCCCGATTATAAATGTCGTTCACGAACATTAGGGAATAAAATCACAGCTCTGCTTGCTCCCTGAGCCACTTTGTTCCAGATCAACTACTCAAAGCTGATTTGTTCCCCCACATATTCCCCACACATGATTACATAGTTGCACACATACACGGACAGAATGCACGTGTGCACACACAGCGCAGCAGCAGCAGCAGCAGCAGCAGCAGCAGCAGCAGTAGTCCTGGCTGGTATTTCAGATGAAAGTGAGTGAGTATCTGCGTGTTCATCTTTAATCCCTGTTTATGGCTGCAGTTTATGTCCTGCTGCCCTTCCCCCTCCCTTTCTCTCTCTCTCTCACTGTTACAGAGTCGGTTTGGCTCGCCTTTCGATTCATTTCAATCTCTGTTCCCTGAGAAATACAGCCGGCTGTAAAAAGTGTAGCATATAGCGTGCAACATGCACAAAGCTGCTGTCTAAGTTGAGCTTTGGTTTGAGGATATATTAAACCCTTTCATGAAGGTGTGATGTTTTGATTGGACTGTTTACTCATGCTTTAAAACCACTGTTCCTGAACGCATCTTGCTGCCACTGAAATATACACAGGCTGGTTATTGCGAAATTTCTTATGGTGCTTTGGCGAACCTGCCAGTTATATAACCAATAAACCACTCTGGATTTATAAAACATGTCTTTGCTTTTATTTATTCCTTTATTTTCTACTGCATATTCTGCATGGAAGGACATAATACAATCTGTCTGTTTGTGTGCTAGTTAAACATACTTTCCATTCATTCAAGAGGAAAAATACAAAACATATCTTGTGGTTGCAGCAGTTTCCATGTTGGGACCAGCCAAGCAGATGTTTACATTTCAGCTCAAGTTAACCCTCAGCACTTTGTGTTGTAGTTTTAGAGGTAATTGGGCAGAACATTTGTCTTATATTGTTACAGAATAACATGGGATCATGCAATCCAAATAATAGTACAATTATTTAATTTAGTTTAATTACTTAATATTTAACAGAAATAAGAAAAAAAAACATCTCCAGGACAAAACCACCGGTTTAAACTGCTCTCTGTAGAATGGGAAAGAAGAAGTTGTAAAAGCCTGATGGTTAAACATTTACGTACATGCTCAATATCTCATAACAGCGTTCATTTCATGTATTTATTGGGTAATGTATCCATCTACCATGTCATTTAGAGTGCATCACAGCTGCAGACTCAATCAACAAATGAAAATACCTTCCTCTCTACCATCAGTATACGGACTAAACATTTTTGAATATGTTCCTGGATGATTATATTCCATTCACAAAGCTCAATTAACGCCGCAACAATAAATACATTCATTTTAACAATGTTGTTAAGTGTAAAGTGAGAGGCATGACTCTCAGTGGCAAACCCAGAGATAATTATCACCTGACTGCAGTTTTTCTTTAGCTCTGCAGTGTTTTAGCGTCTTACAGCTCATTGTTTGTGTTTTACTGTCCGTAAATTAACAGCGGTTTTCAGCAAAGTAGCAGTTCGGTGCTTCCTGCCCGTCACCAAACAGACAGAGTTGTCAACTAGCTGGTGATAACAATGGGGCTAGATATTTCAGACCAGCGCTAAAAGATGAGTGAATAGTTGGTTTGTCAGATTTTATATGTTGATTTTTCATTGTTGACTTCTCACCCCCTTAAGTGGCCAAATTCTGCCCAAATAATGGACATTAAGGGGCATTTTTATTTCTGCAAATATGACCTCCCCCCCATTGTGTTCCTGCAGCAAAGATGACATTTCCAATTGGACCAGCAAAGTGGCTCATTGATGGCTGCAGAAAAGCCATCAAACAGATCAAATGTGTCACAGACCCGTTCATAGAAGTTAAAAGAAAGCTAGTGATAAAAAAGACATGTCAAACAAAATGTCAAAATAAAAATAAAATACAAAAAAACAACAGATGATTTTATTTTCAAGTATAACATTTGATGAATTATGTCAAACGTAGACACAAATATATTAAGTTCTACTAGACGCTGCTTCTGAAACCACCTGTCCCTCTGTTCCTCTCTGAGCTGCCATGGTATTGCAGTACATCAGTTTACAGAGCATTACATCACTAATGCAAACACTGTACCAATGTTAATCCTCTTCTTCCTGTATGACTTCAGAGGGACGTGGCAGGCAGACAAACAGAGGCTTTGTGGCGGACTGATAAGACGCTGCACTGCCTGTGGTTGGTTGGTTGGTTAACGTACCTGCTCTCCCAACCAATCCCTGCCATCTGAATGTCAACCGAGGCAGGATTAAACATGCAACACACGCTGCAGGCCTAGTGCCCTCACAGTGGCAGAGCCTGTTCAAAGTTGTCACTGATTTCACCTGTCTTCTGTGAAACGTTTTCTACAATCATGTCCAGATTTATTATAAATATAGCGGGAACAAAAATGCAATGTACAATTTTATTTGCAGATAGTTCTGAGTTTCTGAGGTTTAGCAATACCATTTAAATACATTTAATAATTCAAATAATTGGGTCAAGGAAGGTTAAGAAACTAAGATAGCTTATAACTACAGTAACTATTATCCCCTTGTTAATTACTTTGTATATGATATTTTGTACATTAATTATGGAGATTGAGCTGGGAGGTAATTAGCCTAGCTCAGCATTAAGACTGGTAAGAGGGGGAAACAGCTCACCTGACTCTGTCCAAAGAACCTGCGTACAAGCACTTCTAAAGCTCACTCATTTACATGTTGTATCCTGTTTCTTTAACCCGTACACAGAGAATGTACACATTTTCTCTTAATATTGTAAATAAACAAGCTACTTGTTGATTAATGCACAACATTTTGCTTACAGTGAGATGTTCTATGAGCACTTGACAAAAAAAAAAGAAATCAGTACATTACAATTATTTTTAAAGAAAGTTTGGTAACTTTTTCTTTGATAGCCATTGCATTAAGAAAATACTATTTACAGCACTGTATACTTATAGCTCTAAGTACTCATAAATATGAATAATGCTTTATGACTAATCACATTATAAAGTATTTTATAATGACTTATAAGGTCAAGGATCATTATACCCAATAACTGCAGGTCATCATTTCATAATTACTTCATAATTCTTTTGCAAGGATAATATTGTATTAAAATTCCCATAGTTGTATTATATTGCAATATTTTTATGTCTTGTAAACACTGTTATGATGCATTATAATGTCATAAGTTACTGTAAGTGGTCATTGTTTGCTTTAAGCAAACAATGATCACTAAGAGTAACTTATAATCGCATTATAAAACATTATAATGCATCATGTATGACCAGCAATTATGAAATAAAGATTTTATAAGTAATTATAAAATGTTTATAATGTGTTATTATTATTGTTATGATTATTGTTACAAAGCATTCTGAATATGTATTACTTATGACTATAAATATACACTGCTATAATCAGATTATAAGGCATTCTGAGTATGTTAGAACACTTTGAATAATTCAGAGGCGAGTGATCAGCGACATACGGATCACGACGCGTCTAAAAAAAACAAAAGAAATCTTCACACAACAAAAACAAAATCATACAAAAAAATGTATATTTACATGTCTTTCAAATTCCTTGCACTCTCCTGTGTTCAGTCCATCGTGATTTTCAGACCTCCATACTTTGATCGTTCATCCATCCAGCCCAGGAGAAAGGCAGCATCAACTCTGGTAGGTGCAGGACCATGATCGAGGTGTAACCAACTCCCAGAAGCTATTCTGTGGAGACGGAGTAGAAGAATTGGTCTAAATATGGTGAAATCATCTCTAATCCTTGTATACATTTCATCTGCATGGTTAAACATCCATTCATCATCACTTAATAATCTCATTTAACGGTGGTCAATTTTATTTTTAGACAGCAGTTATGTGTGTTAAACCATCGTGTGTGTGAATGACGCCACTGGCTTTAGAGGATTCCTTAATGCGTAAAAAGTATGTTAAGTACATCTGTGCCCATCTGTCAGGCAAATCCTTCACATCTGTGACTTCATCAAATGTTAAATACATGTCGGACTTTTACAAACCTACTGTTACTCAACACATGGGACTTTCTAATAAGGGCTTATGTGTGTAAGTTGCGTGTGTCGTCAAGTTTACACACTTTATATGTGTGTGTACACGTAGGCACATAGTCTGTGTAGTAACAGATACTCATGAATGACTGGAGATAAGAACAGACAAAGCCAGGATGATATACATGTAGGTGGAGTACATACCCCTGTCCGAGGACAGTGTATCTGAGCGTACCACTCCTGGCAGTACAGACACACTTGAACACCCTGACCCAGGAAGAGACACGTCCACATGATGACGTTGAACACGGGGCTCTGTCGCTTGTCGTTCATGGTAAAGTTGAACATCACTATGAAAGGACGACATGAGGGAATGCTGTTGTTGATGATTGTTTTTTTTTGTGTGAATGCTATCTGTAGTGACAGTTTATCTGCCTGAAATGTATGCTTGTAAGGACTGGGAAAAATAGTAAGAGCGTGCAAAGCAATTCTGTCAGATGCCGACTTATTGATACCCAGAGGAAGAGGACACAATGCACAAGTGTGCTCTCTTGAAATATAATGAGTTGTCCCCTGAAAACAGCTACTAGATGTGTTAGAGTGAATAATCACTGATTTTGACTTTGAAGGCTTGAAGGCACCGTCCAGAATGTAGAAGGCAACATTTACATATTTTTAATAAGCCATTGTATTCAGAGACAGTGTATTCATTTTAGCAATGATAATGAGGTAGACAAGCAACATTTTTCTCTCTCTTTTTCTCTCTCCATCTTATTTTCTTCCTGTATTTAAAAAGGCACTGATGTTATCAAAAGCTTTCCCCCAGCAGCACCGAATACCAATCATTTTTTGTTCATATCGTTGTGAAGATTCTTCCCTGAATAATGAATGTGACCCTCACCTCCAAAGCAGGCAAAGAGACAGAACAAGACGGGATAGAAGAAGCCGAATGCCATGCCCAAGGCGTACTCATGGACGACAGCAGAGACGATGAACACTGAGAGCATGGCAGCCGTTCGGAATTTCCTTTTGGACAGCTGCAGGGATCACAGAAAGAGAAGGGTTTGGCTCAAAGTTCAGAGGTCAGGCTGGTTCAGCGGGGAATTACAGGACTACTGTACGCACGTCATTCATCATGTGACATGCTGCTGATTATATTATTGTTTTGTTTGATACGATCTATTGTATGTAATTGTAGTTTTTTCTGTGTTGGCACTCTGCTCACCAAGAGGAAGTCTCTGTATCCGTAGTAATAGAGCCAGTCGTGAACCACTACATTCCAGGTACGGTAATAGTTGGCGAAAGACGTTGAGTTCCACCAGTCCTGGAAAATCAACACAGAGTAGTACAATGAGTGTGTGGATCAAATTAAAAGACAGAATAGAGATGGATCCCTTCAATTTTGACGTCTGAGAAACACTGAGATGACTGCTGTCAAATAAGTTGTTCTGGTATTTATAAGTTATACTGGAGAGAGACAAGCCTGACTGATGTTCTTAAATGAAATATGTCCTTAAAACTCATCTAGAGTTTAAGAGCTTGTAGAGCTGGTGGCATACTGTGCTTCCAGTTACTGTAGAGGTAAACTGTTTGGACTCATCCAAGATTTGCTGTATACTTTGTGTTTTTTTTACATTACATACAAGCAAAAGATAAATATTGCAGCTAGCCTTGCTCAGTGTGAAGGTTCAAGTGATTGTCACAGTCCAACCTCATTTAAACAGATAAGTGGTGTCAGGTGCACATAATTCTTAATTAAATTAAACGCTATCATAGAGATAGAGATTTCAAGGAAACTGTGTGGCCTCATTATTGTCAAATACGTATATATATATATATATATATATATATATATATATACACACAGTATATATACGTATATATAAGGAGAGCTTCACTGTCCCCACCTCACTGCTATTGTACATAAATCAATCTGCCAGTTGAAATGTATTCACACCTTGCAGAAACACGTCAGTCAAAGCACATGAGCTCAAAACTAAGTCAGTGCTTGTTCAGGAGCAAACTGCATCAACAGAATATGATGATGGAAAAGTTAAACTGTTGAGGGACCATCAGGCCACCCTGCAGTAAATTCTCTTGTCATTAATCAAAATTTCCCCATCTGTAAAAGCAAGCACGTCTAAAAAATAATGTCGTCACAGGAGAGATGATGCCCCACAAAAATCAGCCATGACACACACCTTGTAAAACATTCTGTCCGCAAAACGCAGCAGCTCCCCGAAGAGGTTGAGCCAGCAGTGCAGGAAGGCAAAGAAACACAACAGAAGGATCATTATACCTGAGACAGAAAGTGAGAGAGAGAGAGAGAGAGAGAGAGAGAGAGAGAGAGAGAGAGAGAGGAAGTTTATGAGGAACACTTTTATTCTGGGCACTGCTCCCAGCTTTCTCATAAGAATTGTAACTTGACACTGATGCTCTTATATCAGCACTTCAAAAAGCTATTTACTTAAAGAGAGATAAACATGCCAGGCTTTAATACCTATATCTGATTGCATAATAGCATCTTTAATCTTATCATTGACTTCAAATCACAAGAGACTTGTTTCCTCTATTTCCCAATTAAGTGATACATTAACCAGCGCTGACTCACACAGATAAGAGATAATACAGGTTGTAAGCAGAAGTGATGTTACCAATGATTTACATGTTTGTTTTATGCGTGACTTTCTTATAATATTGCCGGAAAAGTCTCCAGAACAAGTTCCACATAGGTGGAGTGTAGAAAGCACAGTACCTGGTAATATTGAGTTGAACACAGCCAGAACCATTGTTCGTTTACTAAAAGGCTGGTTGGTCTCAGGTCTGAAGGCGGGCACACAGAGGCGGACCAGGATGAAGTAGCAGTAAAACAGGCATCCTAAGATCTGCAAATTCAGCGTTAAAAGGAAAAGGATATAAAACATCAGCACAAAATAACTGGAGATTGTGGTTTGATCGAAGATAAGAGAGATCAAAGTTATTAGGCACCTGTAGTTTATGATCGCTTCAGGTTATCACACGATACACTCGTGCTATGAGCACTTCTAGGTCAGATCCTTTCTAGGTCATTAACCCCACGTAGACCTTCGTTTTCTTACACAATTTTACATAATCTGACTAAAAGGTGTTAAGTGTGAAAATGACATGAACTCTCAAAAGCCCAAATAAAGTTTCATCTTACCATACAAAGTGTGACGCCAACATACTTCCATCTTATGTGGGTATTCCTACAAAGAGCAGACAGGAAGTCACTACACACATTTACTGTGAAATTGTGTTGCCCCACAGGTTGCTTATCTTATTTATGGTATTTTTCAGCATGATGTAGTTTTTAGGCACGAATAGGCCTCTTTCACAGTAAAACATTTTGGTTTGTCATTGTAGGAAAAGCACATGACTTATTACTATTTACAGTTTGATAGTGAAACAGCATGCACAATATCAGGAGCCTATAAAACCCAGCTAAAAATCAATTAAGTCACAATAAAGTTTCTCTACAGCATTAATAGAGCAGCATTCTTTTCATGTGAAGATATAGTGGAGTAATGTCTACCCGAGCAGAGAATGAAGTTGCTCTTCCTCTGTGTGGTGTTATCAAAATGCCTCTGGGTTTTGTTTGCTTGCCGTTCGTGTATTTAAGTCAATGTTAGTGCACGTGAGCGTGCCAGCCTGGCTAACTCATGGTCGCTGCACTGTGCTCATAGGTTACAGCTGATAAGCTAAGGCCATGATAAGCATAGCACTACCCTCTGGTCCCCCCTCAGGTAAACACCTTTAGCTCTGTCAGCACTGTTGCCATTGTTTGCACTGTTCATGATGTTAGCAGCGTTAGCTGCGAGCTGCCAGCTCAGCCTTCTCCATGTTGAGAGCCGTGTGGAGACAATGATCAGAATTTCGCATTGAGCGCCTTTATTTTTCACGTATTTGTGCTTTTGCGACTGAGATTTGCCAAAATGTCTTACTAAGGCCTGATAGGGAATGCAAAACACTTTGCTTCAGCATTTTGTGGGTTTGTGGCAATGTCAGTTCAGTGCTAACATGACTGTATTATCACTAATTAAAATAAAATAATGAAAGATAAGCAAAAGGAACCCAGATCAAAGGGACAATATGTCTTACCGGGGATAAGATTCCCTGTAGATGAGTGTTGGACAGAAGAGGAAGTACAGATAGCTGGAAAGTGTTGGGGATCTTGGACTTTCTCCTGAAAAGCAAAGACAATTCAGTAAGTATGACTATCAAATGGAGGGTCCAGTTTTTAGTCCTAAATCTGGCAGTTAAATATCTTTTAGCAGACTCATGTTGCCTTAAATGATTAAAAAAAGAGTTTTCTTTAAAGGTTTTTGTTATTATAGTTATAATTTAAGGGTCTCTGATTCAGACATAAGCTTCTCATTGCATTTCTCTTGCATTATGTGACATAATAGCTCCATCTGTGAATACTAAAGCTTTAGTGTGCCTTTATGTAGCAAACAAATGTCTGCCTTGAAAATCAAACATCAGTGGGTTTATCACAAAATCTGTCAGCCATTATGTGAAATTGTCTGCCTTAAAGCTTCTAATCCTTTGTGCTGAACTATTAGCTGTACTCAAGCTCCAACTTTACCTAATGGCATTTAAAATAGTAAACATTTCATTTAACAGAGCTTGTGAAAATCTGTGTTAATATAATCTCTTTCCAAAACCAATTCAAACCATGGGCGCTTCTATGAAGCTATTCTCTGCCTGATTTTACCGTTTTATTCAGGACGATACAGTTTTCTCCTGGAGGGACTTTACTGCAGTACATATTCACATATGACTTTTACAGTAAAAGGTACTAGATACACATTCTTCACCACTAGCAGACTTTTACAATAGGATCTCATGGGGGTGCGCACACTTGAGGTTATTTATTGCATGTGGGTGTATTCATTGTTAATTTTAACTTAAGCATGAATCATTAGGTGGTAACCTGCTGAGGTCTGTTGTAGTCATTTTTCTCTGGTGTCTGGGAGTGTCACTGTGAGTAATGACACTGCCCGAGGAGTAAATACACCTGATAGCGAAACAATTCGACACAGTACCTTCCTTTGGTGTATTCTTCATAATAACAGGAGCGGTTTCTCTCATGAACGAGTAGCTCTTCATCAGGAATCGAATCTGGGGAAAATTAATACAGTTATTATGTGAAGAGAGACACAATGTATCAATTATGACAGCCTCATTGTCTGTCTTTATTGCATGAGTTGACAAGGTGAAGTAAACAACATACATCTTTTGTTGCCTCATCCTCATGTTCCTGTTTTTGTGTATATTGACATAATGATGCATTATTTAGCTCACTTCTGTAATTAATCAGGAGAGGGAACAACAACAGGGAACTGTATATATCGTGACAGAAACACAGTTGGAGAAGTCTGCCACGAACTGAAGTTCAGACATGATGCATCATCAATTTGCATACAGCAGAGAACCACTCACTCTTTTTGGGCAATTTAGTAAAGTCTCAAATCTATATTATACACTTCATATGAGACGGACAGCTTCAGAATTCTAATCAGACTGATTGGGCCCAGCTCAGATGAAGATCAGCACCAGGTTTCTCAAAATCGCCTAAGCCCTGGGATTATCTCACTTCATCCAACGGAGCTAAATTAACCGTAGTACTAAGACGGTTTTTGGAGACCGAGGACGGTGTGATAAAGAGGATGAGAAGGTATTACAGTATGCATCTGTGATGTTTAAACGTTGACACGGAGATCTACTTTCTCGTTTGGTGCCTTTCCAGCTGGAAGACTCCCATCAGCAAGCATTCCTTATTGAAATGTTCTTGTTACTGGCAATGAAGGGCTGCTTTTATAAATTGGATTTCCTATGAATATAATTTATCGACAGTCCAGAGTGTATCTAGCACAGGGTGTTCCTAAAAGGAATGCTGGGCTGCAATAAAACCACTTACATCATACTGCAGGAGTTATTAAAGGAAATGTGACACACTTTTTAGCTCTAAACAACCTTTAAACTTTGTAACAACCTACATTTTCTAGGAGAAAGCTGCTAGAGTTATAAAAACTGACCTGCTGGTCATCTGAAATCACAAATGAAGTGTTCGTGTCAGCTGTTCGGTGACAGCAACATCCAATCACATTCATACTAGTGTACCAGATGGGTTTTGCAATTACTTTTACTCTGTTGATTTCTCATGTTAGCTCTGCCACGGCTGCCTCCAACATCAATAATCATTAATCATCAATCTCTGATTCCGTACCTTTACTGTATGTGTAAAAGGGGGATTAGTTCTACTAGCAGAATCCTCAATGCTGCTCTGATTCTTTAACAATTTCCTAAAATGGCAATTCTCCAAGTCTAACGATATGAATATTAACTTGTCAATTTAACATCTAGAGTCTCTGACCTCAATGGTATATGATACTACCTTCCCCCTAGAGGGAGGGTGGACTCAGAGCCTCCAGACTGACTGCAGGTGGAGGCGGGGCTTTTGAAATGCTCTATGGACAGAAGTAACGTCTGCAGCAGTAGCAGCAAGCAGCAGAGCAAAAGAGTGACCAGAGCACCGATTGCTTTAAGTGCAACGCCGTGATTGAAAGTGTGCATTGGATATATGTTCCTGTGAGAATGTGCCAGGTGAATGAAGCAACAGAATAGAGTTGGGCTGCCTACACTGGCTCATAAGCTTTGCTGCATCAAATATATACGATAAATAAAGCCCCAATAAATGCCATTTGTTTTATTCATCTAAACAACATATCACATCTTTGTTATAATAGAAGTAGAGATTTAAAGATTGTTTTTCCATTTCCCCCACAGTTAATTGTTTGCTGCCTGCTGTGTGGACTTTTGCAACCATGTATTCCTCAAACAAACACTCACTTGCTCCAGTATCACAATGAGCCGCGAGGCTGGTGGCAGCTGGTAGTGTACAACCACATAGATGGGGAACACACCCAGCACGCAGGTCTGCACTGCAGACAGGACCAGGCCCGTGCCGATAGACAGCCCCAACTTAGAGGGGAAGCTGTGGTACAAAGACCCCCAGTACACCAGGGTGAAGTAGGGAACGAGCAGGGTGTAGACAAACATCACAACCCAGGCCCAGGTGGCCATCCCCAGCTTCCCAAAAGCGAAGAACAGCAGGTCGAACTCCAAGACCAACCTGAGATTGCAGAAAAGAAATCAATTATAATCATGAAGGCAATGGGCACATTTTTATTAAAATGACATTTAAAGAAAGACTAAACTTTAGTAAGGGCATTTAGATGATGCGCTCTATTTGCCACTGTGGTCTGTTTTAGCTTCGAACAGGGTTTTGAACAAACATTTTAATTATATCAAAGCATGACTGGCTTTAATAAATGGCAGTCATAGTTAAATGCATTGCATATTTGACCCATTCATGTCTCTGAAGAGACCCCTCTGGTGATAACAGTAATAGATTTTAAATACCCAGTCACTGCAGCATGTAAAAGGCTTTTTGTGATTCAACGCAACCCCTCATCAATTTTCTGTCAACAGCGGGTGGATGTATCGAATAATTTTCACACAGTTGAGTTTCCCGATGGAGAAACATAAGAATTAAACTCACAGTCCTGCGTGACTGCAAACGACAACCGAATCATTACAGAGCTGCCCAAAGCAACAGCAAACATACTCGGAGGGATTAATTGCTCTATCTTTCTGCTGCCAGATGAGCAGAGAGGCAGGGAGAGAAGGAGGGAGGGACGCACGGGGAAGAAGATAAGAAGTTTCTAAAGGCTTTGGGGAAATCATTTTTTATTAGTTCAGGGTCACAGGGTTTGAGGCGTGTCATTGTCGTAGACACACACACACACACTTGTCCCACTGACCTGCCCTGGTCGATGTAGTCGACAGCCAGCGTGCTAAAGCAGAAGATGAGGAGTATGGCGATGAACATGTGGTAGATGGTCCTGATGTGGTTGATCTCAAACAGTTCACTGATGAAGAGGAGTAGAGCTCTCATTAAATTAGCTCTACGTTGTATTCATGTGAATGTATGTAGTGCTGTATAGACATGTAAGAGGTTCTTTAATAGAGAATATACACACACATGCTCATGGGAGTATCTGAATGATCTGTATTCATGTCTTGTATACAGTTTTGCGGTCCACAATAACAAGTTGTATAGCTCCTCTCCAACCCATCATGCATACATCTATATTCCTCAAAAATGTTCAGCTTTCTTTCCCTCATGATGATTATTACTGTATATATACGAGGTTGTTTGCAGTCTCTCTATCTGTCGTTTAATGATTGTACAAAATACATCTGAATTACAATAAATATATATTGCTGATTTTGTAACTCCGGTGACAGCATGATAAATAAAACAATATTTGGTCATGGTATATTGGAGAAGACTTGTCTTTCACACTTACTCCAACAGCGATGGCCTGTCCACGAACACTTTGCCGTCATCCATTCTCTGAGAACTAAAAGAAATACAGACACGCAAAGAGGATAAACATATCTCCCACATCAATGAGGAACATGTGCGCTAGTAAAAGTTGCCTCCTCCTCCTCTTTACCTGGATGAGGGTCTTTTGGACATATTTCCATTAACTGCTGGCTGTAATTGGGTAAAAGGCTGGATGGACTCAGTCAGAGCTTTGTCAAGTAGATCACTGAGCTGATCCTGGACCTGCTCCAGGACTTTCTCCTTCACCTTCTTCAAGACACACAGGAGAAAGAGCTTTCTCAATTCTCTCAACCCTAAATATAGCACGAATTGCATCCCATATTTTTAAAATATAACTTTTACACTGTATCCTGTTTACTCTGCACAATCTTAGCTTTTGTATTGTCTTTTTCAAGATTATTCATGCATTTATGGTTTATTTGACAGAGACAGATACAATATACAAGACAAACTGAAGACAGCTACACTGCAAAAATGTAAAATAGTATATTGTCTAATTACTAGTCAAAATATCTCATAGACACAATCACCTAGCAAGTAACATTTCAGTGAAATGTAGGGACTTGTTTTTACACAATGCATCACGAATATCTTGTTTTATGTGAAATAAATACTACTTTTTAGCATTGCAGGCTTATTATGACACAACACTTCATAATACTAGTGAAATATACAGTATCATACTGTGTTAAAGTGGATGCTAATTTGCAAAACCAATCCCTAGAAGGGCTTTTCTGAAAGGATTAGAACAGTGAAGTAAAAGGAGGTTAGACAGAATACAGCAAGATGCAATAAAGCAAACATTAAAAACATTACGTGTAAAAGCCACACATGAGTACAGGTTTGTTGCTGAATTAACCAGGATAGATTGGTAGCTCTCAGCTTTAACAGGAGGAGAAACTGCATAATTGAAGGACTGTTGGGCAATGGAGTTATGGGTTACCTGTGCATGTTTCTGCCACCGTCTTAGATCTTCCTCTTGTAAATGATTACGGTCCTCAACTGCAGAGAGAAGAACATAAATTGCTTAAGATTAACCGGCACAATATACTGTACATTTTGCACCTGAATTAATATCCAACTAATACAATTTACTAGTTTAATTAATAAAAACTTCCCTATTCTACCTGGTTTATGGCTCATTAGTGTGTGTGTGTGTTGATGTTTTGGTTTTTATTGCTGTGTGGTTTGCTGTATGCGCGTGTGTATATATTTATGTTGTTTATGCTACCTTTGTGCCTATACAGAATCTTTATATTTTCTCTTTAAATGTAAAGCACTTTGAGTTGACGTGTGATGAAATGTCCTACATTGGTAACATTTCCATTGACATTCAGAGCAAAACTAAGGATTCATTTTAAATACAATTCCCAAGCATATTGTTTTTCTTGCTACCACCTTCCACAAACAAATACTACATGTATTGAAATTTAAATTTCTCTCTTGGTAATTGCACAAACTAATGCAAAAAAAGAAAAAAAAAAACTAAATATGCAATGATTTTCTGCAAACCAACACAGTAGAACACAATACAGCCCAATCAAACAAATTAATATATTATACATTTTCTATAAATAGCATATTGTCTGTACCATGACCAGAGATCTCATCTGACTGACGGGCTTTGATGTTTCGGTGCAACAGTCCCTTAGGTGGCTCTGCAGTCATCATGGTTACCAAAGGATCACGCCAAAACACGGAGGACTATCTACTGGGACTCCTGCGCGTATAGAAGTTGTAGGTTAGTCTCACACACATTATCTTGCTCCCCTGAGGATAAATAATGGAAATCAACTAACGTTTGATGTGACATTGTGATATGCGCCAGGTTTGTATTTGCCTAATCTAGCCTGTTGTTTGTTGGTCCGATAAGGATTGCAGAACATAATAGGTGAACTCTTTGACCTTACTCACCACATTTTGGATCCACACATGGCTCAGTTTCTGGTTATAATAGCATTGCCCTCTATGGACTGAGACACCCCAGGAAGTGATGTAAAATCAGGTGTTTTCACCCGTTAAATAGCCGTGACATCACGGGACAGAAGTGCAACATGCTTGAAATGTTCAACCCTTAGAGGGCAGTGCAGCAGGTTTTTTACCCTGTTATTCACTGTAAATTTACCCCTTGTTGAGGCTCGTTGAGGTGGAGTCCAGAATATTAAACTATGAATTGAGAGATTAAATGAGGTCACAGGCCCGTTGCTGGCGGGTTGCCTCATTCCAAAAGCATTAATATTCCTGATGAGCCTCAGTCCCGAAGAGGTGAGCACGTTCTCGTGTGAATCCGAAAATGAAAATGTGCCTGATCTGAATGCAGAAACATATCAGGGTCAGAGGTTTTTGAATGGTAGTAACCCTACACTTCTTTTCCACAGCAAGTCACTTGAGCTCAAGCTATACAACGTAAACAAGTGATAAAGCCAGTCTACCTGACTCAGTGGAGGTTCACACACTAGATAAGGTACACAGAGGGCTGCCAGAGAAGTAAAAGACACAGAGTGACCTCATTTTATAATCCATACTGTTGCTCATACTCGGGAGAAATGTCAACACAGCAGATGAGCTCTTCACAGATACACAGATGATGTATTATGTGGCTGCAGATGATGAGAAAGAGATGAAGGGAGACATGTTTTTGAGCAGATCAGACTTAATGCCATACTTATACAGTTTGAGGGTGAGGGATCTTATTCATTTGCTTGTCCTCTTTTCTTCTTACTCACTTGCAGCCTGTCTTACTTTCCTCTCATTTGCTTATAACGAATGACTGAAAATAATGAAATCAAAGTTTTGATTCACACATAGTTGCTGTTTGTAATGGGAAATAATGAATCCACTGATTTCAAGTAATAATTCCACCAACTTGCCCTTTCACCATATTATTTAATCAATTTCATTGGACCTATTACAACAAAACAAAATGTGGGTGTCATCAGCCACATGTAACTGGATTTGCATTCAGGGCTCACCTCCACCTCAACTGGCAGTTAAAAGAACATCCAGATTTGGACAAAGTGGACGAGTGTGGTAATAGCTAATAGGTGTATGATAGCTTCAGGGAACCTTAAAACCTGTGGTTAAGTTTTCATTGATGATCATGGACTCGCCTGATAGTATCATTTCCCTAATAAGTGTCTGCACTTAAACTAATGTTGATGATGATGACTATCATCACTATTTCAGATGGATTTTCATCAGTAAGATGATCATAGAAAAGACAATTTAATAATGATATGCTAATCATATGTTGGAGCCATAATTAAGTATTAATTTAATAGCTAAAATCAAGGCTTTCAATGACCATGATCAGTCATCTTGAGCTCAACTGAGAAACAAGAGGAAATAAACATTTGAGGTCACCTTTCAAACATAAACCTTTCAAACCTCTGAAAGTTAATTACTGTAAAGAAAAGAAAGAAAAATTGTATATTGTTGACAAAAATCAACTGATTCAATCATAACTTTCCTTCAGAAGTGTTAAACAAATATACTTAAAACCTGGTCATGATCGTTTTCTTTCAATACTGATGTACAAATATGAAACTTTTACTAAGAATTTCCAGCAGTCAGAGTTCACTCTATTCTATATCTATTCTATATTCTGTCATTTTCAAAAGAACACCTTGTACAAAATTGTAGATAGTAGAAACTGTGGGATTAAAACCATAAAAGTGACAGATGTCAGATATACATATGTCAGGCAGACATCCACGAGAAACATTTGTCGGTGTGTCAGATTTGTACTCACACAGACTTCTAACCTCGGCGCTCAGTCAGCGGTCTACCGGCTGAGACGTAATGTTTCAGTTGATGATCCCTGCTGAGAGAGTGTGTTTTCAAGTAAATCTGCGTCAGTTTTTGTAATCTGTGCCCTCTGCTTTCCTCTGTTGCTATTTTGCACTTTGACCCTTATGGCTGCTGGTTCAGGTCAGGACAGGTAAACCTCCTCTACTTGATATATGAGGTCATGCAGTAGAGCAGTGGAGTTTGTCCTGGAGTTTTGTCTATTCACAGAAAATGACTTATTGCAAAATGTATTCATAGCATTATTGCTTTTTCATTATTGAATTGTATGCACTTTCTACTTGCCATAGCTGAATACGTCTTTAATGGTTCTACGACAACCAGGTCAAAGGTTTTCCACGAGCACTGAATGAATGTCAAGGAAAAAACATCGAATAGCTGCTTTGACGAAGCACTTCAAAATATGCATTTCTTCAATTTTTTTTCTTCAGTCAAAAAAGTGTTTTGCTTTTTGCTACTTCACTTGGACATTTGACATTCACATACACTAATTTATCTGCTGAAGGAGGAAAGTGTTTCTGTGCTCGCCCTTTAACTTTAACAAATACTGGAAGACCAGAAATGCGAAGGTCATTAACTCTGTGGATAAATACAGTGATGGACAGATGAAGATACACAGTGTTCTGTGACACCAGATGGACCCAAACGAACCAGCTGTACAAGTTTGTTTTGTATCCCAGGTCCCAAAGTGTTTAACTTGGAAATATTTGGAACGAACTAAAAGCTAATAGTTTCAGAAATAACCGTTGTTTACACAGTGTGAGCACATCTTATATGCACACAAGAATGAAAAGGATCAGTTTAGTGAGAGGCTGGGCTCAAACACAAAATACATCATCATATCAACTTAAAGCCTAATCATGTGAACAAAACTGTATCGAGTTATACACGGATTGTGTGACTGATTTATAAAATCAAAGCCCTAGTAAACAGAAAATCAACAAAGATAAACAAATTCACCTCTTATAAGTATGTCAAAGGGCAGACAGACAGCCCTCCCCCTCTGAGTACTCTGTTGCTCTACTTATTGATTTATTTTGGGGTTGAATGTGACTGACTCTCTGTTGGCTCATGTCAGTTCTGGCAATAATTCTAATTGACGATGATGATGATGATGATGATGATGATATGTTGATTATATAATTAACAGCATCATTGAAGAACACAAAAGGAAAAAAAGTTCCAGCACAAAATGTCTAGTTTTTCTCAGATTTTCCTCGTACACTTCACACTTTTTAAAATACTTTCTAGATAAGACGACCCCCTGTCACACTGTTGCAACTGTTTTACAGCTGCTTTAACTCTCCTGGTTCTCTATCAACCTGTTAGTATATCTGGATTTATTGACAACATGATTTAACATCTTTCATTGGACTCTCCCCTCGACCTAGAAGAAACTAGTACCCATACCGTACCCCCTAATATCTTAAGTCTTTATATTTATGGCAATCATAAAGTCGTGAAAATAAATACACTGTTATTTCTCTAAAGGGAACCCATGAGAATAGGGTAAAGATTTTAACTAATAGATATCACATGAAACTTCCCAAAATGATTAGTTACATTAAGGCAATTCTTTTTTGTAAAAGAGGTTTTCTGAAATATGTTTAAATATGCAAATGAGCCATTATGTAAGGCTAACCTTTGGTGAATTTAGGAGAAATCTACATACACAAATAGAAAAACTGCAGTAAAATAAACACCGAAATGTGCATTTTGTATATCGTCTTTCTGCCAATCTCAAAGAAGACATGTTATGGACGTAAAATAGCATAACATCTCAAAATTGATCAGTGCATGATAAGCAAAATGTTTTTACCAGGGGCGTCGCCCCTGAAGCAAATAATCATTTCTGCATTTATTTTTCTATGACAGAGAATTGTCAACATCTGCTCGATGTGCATTTTCAAAGTGCTTAAGGGGTAAACATCCGACATAGTTAAAGTGGCAGAGTAAGAACAAGACAGTGTAATAATGATACAACATAGAATCATCTTTATTGAAAGGAGATAACAGTACTGTTTCTGAGCAGCTACAGAAGTACTGCATGCACTAAATCCCACGCTATCAACAAACCAACCAACGCACATGTGTACAAACACAGACATATTGCATCTGTTTTTTTTTTTTAACCACCCTACCATTCTTGTCATAGTTATATTTCTGCATATTTCGGCTACAGTTTCACATATTATTTACCTTTGCCAGAATATTTTAAGTTTGGTTACAATGACTGTCAGACAAACAGAACAATAAGACAGAAAATAAACTCTACACTCGCCCAAACATTTACAGCTCAGTATACAACCATCGGGCATGTCAGAGGAACAGTTGTTTTCTTGGTGGTTTTTGTTCATTAACAACAAATTGACAACTAATGGTTTCTTTAGGTTATGTAAACACACTTAACTTTTATGATTGTGGTAAGCTTCTCAATGTCCTTTTTGACCCTTTGAAGAAAGTCAAAATTAACGGCTGCTGTATTCGACACTCAGTGTAAAGTCTTGTGAAGAGGAACACAGGGAGAAAGGATAAAGAACATAATGTGATCAAGTGCTTCATGCATGTCTGATTAGCCTCAATATAAATAGAAGAGGGGGTCTGTCAGTAACGCTTGACATTACAGCCCACAATGTAACGTAACGTAATAAGTATATCAAGGGTATCAGTAAAATGGTAACTACACGGGACAAATCTGGGGAGGGAATTAAAGAGTAGAAAGAACTAAAATGCAGAGAACTTATGATTATTAATATGGTGTACACTTAATGTCACTCAAAAAACAAAACATTGGGCTTTACAGCCTTCACAGCTGTAGCTATAAATAACAAAGTCTATATATATATATCGTTAATATTATGATAAGATACTGAAGAACAGTAATGTCGTCTTTGAATCCACCTGACAATCAAAACTGATGTTGAAGAAGAAACTTGAACAGACACAATTGTGAAGCTGTTCTGTCTTTTCAAGTGTTCTGGTGTGTCTCGCTTCCGGTGTGTGAAGGCCTCAAGTACGTTGGTCCCCCATCTCTGCCAGTTAATTAAAGTACAATTTATTACTAGGTCCCCTCCCTAAACACAAATTTGTAACCCTCTTATGTACTTCTTCCATCGAGCCTCCCCAGTAAGTACATTATTATATCACAACATATCTACACTGTAATTTGCAGGCTGTAAACTAAAGCGTTACGGATTTGCTTTGTTAAAAGAATTGCAGAAAGTTGACGAGTGAGAGACACACACACACACACACACACACACACACACACACACACACACACAGTCCGTCTACTGTCACCCTTGATTCTCTTTTCCTGACTGGCTGATCAGGAGCTCAATGAGAGAGTTTGAAGGGCGGCGTGACCATCGGCGTGTGTGTGTCAATCAACTTATCTGCTCAGATAACTCAGACTGCACCCAAGGAACCCGGTATATGTGATGTATCTGTACTTTGGGGTCATTGTGTGATGAAGCGATCTGTGTGTGAGTCAGAGGGATAAGACAGGGCTGTATCAGCTGATAACCTACAGTAACCTTTGGTTTATGTCTCCATCAGAGGATATACAGAACTCTTTCAATGAATCACTACAATCAGGGCTTTGGTATTAATCTGAGGTGCTTCATGAAGAACCGTAGGATTAATCATCAGTATTGGAACGACAGCTGCACAGGTACATGCATTTTCATTCAATGACAAAACACTAGAAATCTGACACCCAAAACATTCAAAGCACACATCAAAGCAAATGCTTCACATTCAGCAACTGCTATAAATTATGAATAAGCTATAATAAATAATAGCAAATAAAAAAAAACATTTTAAATAGAGCTCATGGTAAATACTATATATATAAATTATATATATATTTCTTATATCTAGAACTAGAACTAGCAGTATAAAAATAGTTGCTACACAATTATTTTTTTCCCACTCTGCCATGCTTTTTCTTGTCATGACAATGATTGAATATCTCACAGGCGATCCCTGACGGGACGTTTTTTTCTAGCGATGATTTACAGCTTAAGAGTCTCTACTACGACACAATCAGTCTTTTAAAATCAATCAGAAATCGTGTTTTAGACTCTACTGGTGGTTCAGACGAAGTTGCCTTTCAGACTAGTTGTGACCAGTGCAGTGGACCAAAAGTCAAACATACTGAGGCGACTGAATATTTGAGTGAACGATGTTCTGATCAACTTCCTCACTTAGGACAATGGCTCCTTATGTGCTTGGTGAAAAAGTGCCATCACCGGAGTCATCTGAAGCTCACAAGTTGACGAGGTCTTCACCAAAGTGTGATCTCTAACTTGCTGGACTATATATGGATATAGGGTGTTAACAGGGTGACTACAATATTTATCTAGTATACGTATCTGAAAGATATCCTCAAAGGGTACCAAAATACAAAACTGTTGTGACTTGAGGAGTTAAAGTCTTTACTGTATACTATATATAAACTTAATTTCCTTTGTTTATTTTAAGAAAAGGTCAAATTGTCTAGTGTCTAAGTTAAGGATCGGCCAGGTTTTAACTGTGGCAGGTGTGCGTATCTGTATTTTAGTGTAGTTTGTGTTCTGTGGGTTGGTCTACCTACTGTAGTCTACATGTGAAAAAACACTATATTGTTACTATGACTACTGACACTGCTTCTAAAATAAATAACTCATTGTGTTATAATAAGCCTGATGGCACTGCAGTTTACTTTCAGACAATCCCACTCACACTATCCTGCTGCTGTAAAAACTCACCACAACACCAAATGTGTTTTCATGTAATTAATCCACAGCTGAAAATGGTCCCCAATAAATTCACTATTTACTCCTGTTTTAGAAGTGCTTGCTAAATAAAAAAATGCCTTATTTGTTTTTAGGAAATTACGGAGCCTTTTGGTAAAAAAATAAAACAATACATCCAAGGCCTGTTTTTAAACCTTTACATCTTCAGTATGCTTGAGACTGAGAGCCACAGGCAGGCTGGGGACGTCGGAAAGTACTGAGACACAGTAACGCATTGTTGGTCTTCATCTTTTCATGAGATTTGTTGACAACAACAAAAAGATTGAATAAAACCAGCCTCGTCCTTTAAACACAATCATTGTTTTGAGACTGAATCTCCCATTTAACAGTTTCATTTGAGACTGAAACATTTCATGCCAATGTGGACTTACTTGCTCACTTACTATTTTATGTATTGAAGACCAACATTAAAAATGAACATGCACAGTCCTAAAGTATAAATATTAGCCAAGTGATCCTGAGGTTCACTGTTGAGTTTTCAGATCCATACGCATGTTTAATATTGGTAATAGTGATTAAGACTTAGCTTCTTGTTAATTGTACTGTTGCCTTTTTGTTTACTGCGATATCCTCACTGAGACAAACAGCACACACTAGTGGTTACCTACAGCACTGCACCTTCTCCTCCCCACCTTCATGGGGGAGAGTGTGCAGCAGTACGGGTGTAATCTGCCAAGTCAGACAATTGAGATGCAGCGCATGCCGTGGATCTTACTGATACCAACATACACCCCGCATCAGTGTAAAGGAAGGAGAGGAGATTGAAGAGGAGCAAGCAGGGGAAGGAAAGGGGACACCGGAGAGATAGGGGTCTGTTTACAGCAGGTGAGGATGAGGGAGGAAGGAGAGGCTGGGAGAACAGTGATCAGCTGCATGCAGATTTACAGAATAGGCCTCAGGAAAAAAAACATCTGCCTGGAGAGAGAGAGAGACAAACAGAGAAACAGAAAGTAAGAGCAACAGTCAGTTACATTTGAGAGTAACAGGGAGAACGAAAGAGCAGCCTGTGAGTCATGCCAACAGTGCCAGAAGGAACATGTCTCAAATCATTTTATTTCTGGTGTCTTCACTGAGAGCTAGCTGTGTTTGGGAGCTGCATGTAGTAGTCTAGGGACAGACTACATAGGATGTCAAATTCACCAGCACTGTGCAAAGCAATCCTCTGCAAATTAAGACTAAGGTTTCCAAATAAAATTCACTGTTGTCCCTGTGACAAGTGGTGCTGAATAATATTCACTTAAATACATGAAAAAGGCAACCGAATAAAGCGTGTAACAGCAGAATTAGTGGGATGCAATAAAAACCCAGAGGCACTGATCATTTAATTCTTCTTTCTCCTGTGGGTATTTCCCAGCGGAATATGTTTTATATTGTTGTATAATCTTCGACCCTCGTTGGGATTTATGAGAGAGTGAGTTAAAAGAGCGTGCGGTGCTGATCCGAGACAGATGCTGTTTGATGGGTATTTCTGTGTAAAGTGTCTCACAGCGTACTCTGTCAGTGTTGGTATTTTTAGTGTGGGGGCCCCACAACAGAAAACAAAGCTGTCCGTGGCAGCTGGCAGTGTTGTAATCTCTGCACAGCACCTGAGGGCTGAGACCCAATAAACTCTAAAGTCATCGTGATGTTTCGCCAGACAAGGTCTGCTCCCAAACCAATATATCCAATCGTCTAATAGAGCTTTAATATACCTAAGAGAAATTAACTGCTGGATATGTTTGGATAAGAAGAGAACATTTATTATTCTATGTAAATATTCTGTTTCAAACGGCATTTATTTAGGTGATGTTTGATAAGCAGCGGGGCTGTTTTGTTTCCTGAAACATGCAAGCTGCAACATCATGATTATTTCCTTTCCTGTAAATTTTGACATGTTTCAATAATCAAAACAAATGTCATACTTTCAATCCATGCATTAGCATGCAAGAGCCCTGTAGCTCTACCAAATTTAACTGCAGTTTGCAAGCCACAGTTATTTGTGAGAATTGACGCTGCCATTATTTGCAGTGCATGTAAAACGCCTTCGGGATACAGGCCCGTGCTTCTCGGGACAAACGTTCAGATGAATTAAAATGATGTAACATATATGTGAATCTATATATAATCATTTAATGTTGCCATTTGAGGCAAGCTTTTCAGACAATGTATGTGTACAGATGTAGTATTGAAGCAAGTCTTTAAAAGCGTCCTACTGTTTGCTATTTGAAAAAGCATCAATGTCATCGTCGTAAGAGGTGCAAGTTTACTCAAAGTTACAAAAGCCTTCAGGTTTTCAGAGAATTTGGTTATTTGTTTGAGTCCTTTCGTTCAATTGAAATAGAACAATTAAAAACTAACAATTGACGGAGGAAAGCTGCCGATGTAGCTTCAGGGCTTCTGGTTTCAAAGACCTCATCTATTCTTTATGTTAAGTGTATAATATTTATAGATCAGATCAGGGGGATTTTTCAGATGTTATGTCAAAACTTGAATGGATAAGTTCAGTGGAGTAAAGCTTTGATTGACAGCTCTTTGACCCATGATTCGTTGACCTATGTTCTGTAACGCAAACATAGAAGAGTTGTTTTTCTGTGTTCTTACCTGCCCAGGACTATTAGCTGGCTGAGGCCTCCTGCTGCAGGCTGTAGAGGTTGGCTGGGTCCTGATTGTCCCAGACGTCAGTTCTGGACACAGAATTCACATTCAGACATGTGCTGTCCAACGCACCAGAATCACAGGCGGTCGCAGCAGCAGTAGCAGCATCCACAGCAGCAGGAGCGATGACAGCAAGAAGGGGGCAGCGAGGGAGCAGAGAGACACAGCAGTGAGGGAAGCAAATCAGTAATGTTACAGTAATTGGTTTTAAAACACAGGGGGTATTGGTGCATGCAAGGTGAATGTGGCAATGACATACAGTACTTCAACCTGTTCTTTGCCTATAACTGACTTTTATCAAACATGCTAGATATTACCTTTATTCATCTCGCTCTATTTCTGCCAATAATTCTGAAACTGATAGCTGATGATCTATTAAAAGTAAATATTTCAGGACCTTCAGTTGAAGCCAAGCTGTTGTTAGCCCATCAAAGAGTCCAAAATGAACCTTAAAACTAAATCAGTCATACAAAATACTACAACAAGTTACATTTTAGAGGTTAATTCTGCCCATGACTGACAAAATGAAAGCCTGCAGTAAGACGACAACAAACCGCAGTGGGTGTTTTGCAGTCCTCAGGCAGGGTGAGGTAGTCGTACCTGTTGTCATTGATATCTGTGGTGTTTCCTGCAGACAGAAAGAGGTGCATAAGGAGGCAGGCAGGTGCACGGTGAGAGGGTTGGTGGTGTGTAAATTAGGGAAGAAGTGGGTTTGTCACAGACACAGATGGGTTAAACTGAAACAGCCCAAAGCCATCGGAGATAGATGGCTTTGGAACAAGCAGCTGCATAATGTGTTGGTTCTCAAACAACAAGTCCTCAAACACAAATGACTGAATAGAGTGTTTGTCATTCATTTTAAAAAGACAGATATGTGCATTATACTGGTCTTCTGACTCAATCAGCTCAGAGCAGACACAACAGAAGGTTTTCTCAGTGGTATACGAACATATGCAACGACACATAAACATTCATTTCACACTGTTTGTACCAATGACCAATGCTGTCCTTATTCTGGAGAGGATTTTATTTGCCTGACTGCCAGAGCTTGCTTGTCAAACATGAGTCATTTTACAATGTTTGAACAAACCAACAATTCTGAAATGTTTCTGATGAGGACACTCACTCTAATACAGTACGACTGACACAACTAATAACAACAAAGTGCTACAAGTTTTAAAAGAAGTCCTCCCACCCAGAGAGCTTCGTTGCATAAAAGCACAATGGATCATAGTTACATTCGGTGGATCCTCCTCCTCCTAGCAGCTACTGCAGAACTACAACTCTAAGAGGCCTGTGCTTTCCCTGAAACTACCCTGACACAAAATATTCAGTTGGCTTTTTATATGACACAACATATTGACACCCAGACGTATCAAAATGTTTCAACTGTTGATCAATGTCCAGATATTAAAAAGTATATGTGCAATTATTCATTGATATTCATGGCAGAAAGCTCACTTAATTTATGTGCTTAAATTTGATAAGCTGTCTATAATCAAGGAGCCTCACATGACTGGATTATAAGGCTGCTCGGTTTAATCTCTTTGAAAAAAGGTATGGCAGTTAATGAAACGCTTCTCCTAACAGGAACTGTCAAGGCGACGCCTCAACAGACTCAAAATACAGAAAAAGTAAGACATTTGGGGCGCATGCCTTGCCGAGCTATTTGGCATTGAGTTATGCACTTTCCCATAAGCTCTTTTTAGAATGCATAACAGCGAGGAGAATCATAACCCAGAGGGAAAATTACAAGTCAGGGACCAGAAGGAAATTTGGCTTCAGAGTTTGGCTTCAGAATACATTATAGTGCACAAGCACATCCATTCCAAAAATGGCATATGTCCACTTTGGGGAGGAATACTAAGTAAAATATTGAAAATGAAAATAAACCTAAAAAAAGTTGCACACTTATTTACAAATCTCCTGAGACGAGTCATAGCATCTGAACAGCTGCCAGTGTTGAGCGAGAGTATTTTTATGCCACAAAGAGACAAATGTTGGTGTTTTCTCAGCATTTTCTTGTTGGCAGCGATGAATATCTTCTGAAACAGCATCATGGGAAGCAATAACTAAAACCAGCCTGATTGGATTCTTGAAGGGTTCTCCGGATAACATCTCTAATAACCGTTATTTAATAAAAGGTAGGTGCTGTCGCAGCAGATTGATATATTGGCTCTGACCCATTTTGCGACATTCATTGATATTCCTGGAGAATCAAAAAGGCGTACTGCTGTTACACAACTCTACAACTGTCATCACTGGGTCAGAGGCTGAGGTGGGCACTCAGCCTGTCTGGGTGGTTATCTGTCTGGCTGAGTAATGACACTGCAAGTCTAATCCATCTCCTCAAGAGTCTGCTTCTGATGAGAGCAGACGCACACACACAAACATGAAGGAGGAGAAAAGCCTCAAGTAGTAGCAGCAGTATCCTCCTGTCCTTAGGGAATTCCGAAAAACGAGGCAGTAGCCCATAAATATACAGACATTTTATCCAAAGACAGTTGACTTACACCGAAACTCTTTTCCGCACACTAAGGAATTACAGTTAAGACGGCCGACTACGAGCCCATTACAAGAAGATGAAGGCAGAAAGAAAAAAGAGAAACAGCAGGCTGAACTGTTATCACAGCAGCGAGGCAATTGCTGTAAACTAGTTTAACAGCCACCACTTTATAATAGTATAAAACAACATTCAAACACAAATGCTGGTGGGATGGCATAATGGCAACCACTAAAGAAAATACGATGTCATTATTTTAACTGTCACCATGTAAACGGGGCTCACCGTTCTCTGAATCAAGCATCTCTGCGGTGTTCTTGTCTGCAGTGTTCTTGTCTGCAGTGTTCTTGTCTGCGTGGTTCGGTGGTTCAGCTCGAAGCCTACAAACAGGAGGAAGAGACATTCACGTAAACGTAACAGTTGGGATTTGTGTGTCAAAATCTTGACCTCTAGATTAAAAAATAAATAAAAACTGGCAAATATAAGTGTACCCAAGTGTTCACTTAGCCACTAAATGATAAATCAATGTCAAATCAGAGACACAGACACACCGAGCTGTAAAAAGCTGGAATGTAAAGAGCTTGGAAATCCTTTGACAAAATAATCTTGACTCCACTTTCTACTGTCGCTGTTTCTGGAGCATTCACTGTATTTCACATCAGCGGATCGATGTTATGACAACTGCACTGATGTTGAAACTTCTGGACAAACTACAAGTGGACTTCAAGGACTTATGTCCAAGGATGTGTATTACTCCACGAGTTTACTCACGTGTTGTCCTGAGCGTCGTCGTCTTGTGAATCATTGTTTTGGGAGTGGGGGTGTTTGGTGGGGCTGTTCTGGTTGGAGTTGGCCTCGGGCAACCTGGGCTCACTCTCTGCTGCTGCTGCAGGAGCAGCAGGAGCAGCTGCTGCTTGTTGGTGCTTGATGTTGTGGAACTCAGCTTTGCTGGAGGCAATGGGGTGATCGCTGTAGCCTCGGATGAAGAAGGGGCTGGTGGGAGAGCACGGTGGGTAGTGGCCAGCGCGCACAGGCTTGGCTGTTGGCGATAAAACAGAATTGATCTATTGACTGATCCATTCATCCACAAAAGACAAAAACATCATATTTATCGGTATACTGCCCACAAGGGATATTGCTACACATCGTCTGTAGCACGAAACTAATACATTTAAATGTGACTGGAGTACTGGGAATATATCAAAGTGCAGAATAGCGATCCAGTATCCAGGTGGAGACCTTGTTTCCATACAGCCAATCACATCTAGCATAGAGCAGTCATGTCACCTTTCTATCAACCTAATACACAACACAATCCTCCTTCTGGTCAAAGTTTCAAACATGAACACACAACATGAAAATTTATATTTCCCCAGAGACCTTTTTTCTTCCTTTGAATAATGAAAAAAAACTCTTAACAATACATTCAAAAACACAATAATTTTCACTACAAAAAGAGATGACGAAATATAACACCACAGTTACTCACAGTTGCTTTAGTATAATCCTCAAATGAAAATCGTTATTCTAAAAACCCTCAAATGAATAGCTCCTTTTCTCACAGCAGCACAGTCGTCTCCTTTCTTTCGCACACAGAACTCAAACGTATGAGTGCAATTGGATGGAGTAAGTCTTAGTGATTGAAATGGATTACACTGCTTTTCTAATAAATTGTATTTCTCTCAGAAGAGCTCACTGCGTAAATCCTGATACAAAATATTATATACTATAACTACAAATATCTTAACATATAATCATCATTAGGTATTATAAATATTGTCACAATTTAAAGCAACTAACACAGGTTGTTGAATTTGGTTATCAAGCATATTAATGTGTTCCACAGCGGTGAACCTAAATCTCTGGTACTTTTAGTTTCTGAATATAGAACCAGAAGACTGGCGGTGAAAACTCATCTCACATCTCACTCATGCATGAGGAGGTGGTGTATGAATATACGGTGCTCTGGTTGAGGGGAAGGAAGGAGATGACAGACGATGCAAATCCAACAATGGATGTTGCCTGTGGTGGAATCACACAGCAGAGACATGAAAGGACCAAAAGATTTTTCTCAAGGTGTAGAACAAAGACAAAGAATAAGATGAGGTGATGCAGCCAGATCGACACGAGTGTCGACATGTGCAACCTCAGCATTAGATTGGTGGAGAGGTTTTACATGGTTTGATTTCTACAACAGTTCCTATAGTAATTTACATGAATCTTAATATATTGAGACATTTGTCTTTCTTATTTTCGTTCAACACTACTTATATACTAACATTCAAACTGTGAAGAAAACGCTTTGTTAAAACATGTTATTGCTTTTGAATGATATCATTCAGTCGGCTGCAGAATAAATCAGATATTACATTTGACATGAAATAGAACAACAGAATTTCCGTGTACTCATATTGACACATAACCTTAGACATATACTGCCTTTGTTTCAGCAATGAGGAAGCTTTAAGATGCACTGGCTGATGGATTGACTTATTTCAACATGCCAATTGGCAATATTTGCAGGTGTTGAGCTGCAGTGTTAAATTACTGTGATGATTGCGCTTGTTTTGAGAAGAACTAAAAAAACATACAAAACAAATCAGAAAAACTGTAATATGACTCTATATAAGCTTTAGTAGAAGGAATAGACATGAAAACAGTTGTGTGTGATTTGATTGTTGACTTAATTAGATTGGATTCAGCTTAATTGCACAGATCTAAACTACTGAGACATGTAAATGCAGTTGCAAGAATTATAAGAAAGTTATTAATGTCCTAGACAGGAATGTACTAACTCTGGAATATTGCATGTTAATACCCACAGATCCAATTTTAAAGACTGGATTCAATGGATCAATGCCTATCTAAAGATTAGAGGATAATCAGATTATATAGCTTTTACTGAAATAACAAATGCAGCAACATGTAATGTAGATTGCTGCCGATGGCTGTTCAGTTATTCTGAAATAGCTGAATCTGTGAACGCGGTGCGTGTGTTACCTATCTGTGCAGCATGGGGCCTTCGGAAGGGATTGCGAGCCCTCATCACATCTTTGATACGCTCCACCTCCTGCTGGTAGCGGTGGCGTTCCTTCATGGCTCCTTCCTTCGCCTCCTTCAGCGCACCCTCCAGCGCCTTAACTCTCTCAGCTGTAGACCGAAGCCGTTTCTCCAGTTTTGGAAGCTCACAGCGAAGATCTGCATTGTCACGTACCAGCTGTCACACAGACACAGACATACACACACACACACACACACACACACACGCACGATAACATATACAGTAAGCCCAGGGATTAACTGTACATGTCAGTGACCATGTAATATATCCTCTCAAATGAAACAAAGATATCAACGATATACAATATTCAAAGAAAAAGTTAGTCAAATTGTTGGTAATGTTTTCTCCATGAATGTATTTCTTTTTTAGAATTTTCTGAATACAATTTATGAAGAACTTGTGTCGCTTTAATATTGCTACATACAATTAGAAACCTGTGTATGAAGGTTTGCTCTCATTTGTTTTGAAGAGGAAGAATAAGAATGTGTTTTTAATTTTTTTCTAATATCATTTGTTTAACCATTTCATTTTTGTGCAAAGTGTCTCACAGCGTACTCTGTGAGTGTTGGTATTTTTAGTGTGGGGGCCCCACAACAGAAAACAAAGCTGTCCGTGGCAGCTGGCAGAGTTGTAATCTCTGCACAGCACCTGAGGGCTGAGACCCAATAAACTCTAAAGTCATCGTGATGTTTCGCCAGACAAGGTCTGCTCCCAAACCAATATATCCAATCGTCTAATAGAGTTTTAATAAATCAACTGCTGAAATGACAAAATATCATTTGTTTATCCACTTCCATCTTCCTGTTTTGCAGTGTGAGGGATCCAACCTGTCGTGCCGAGAACAGCACGTTATGGCCAGTGAGTATAGCAACACAACAATGGAAGCAGCAAAGCGAACAGAACCCTTGAACCGGAACTTTTTTGTCAGTTAAAGCCAAATAGGTGCAGTCAGTCGAGAGGATCATCACATGTGACCTGATGGGAAAAAGACTAGGCTGCCTTTTATGTAAAGATTGACTATCTCAAATTTAAGGCCAGCTAATCGGAAAAAACGCCTTCTAGACGGGTCTGACCACAGCCACTGGGGCGCTCCTGTCATCATTCCTGTTGCACATGACAGGAACGCCCACATAGATCATTGGTTTACTGCCCACCTCCATTAAAGAGCAGCGCTCAACCATCAGGGACTCTTAGGGCTGATAATATACCTCAGTCAGTCAATAGGAAGACACAGCTTAACCCAATTTTATCATTTAGTAGTAAAAATAATATGATTGATATTGGTACATATTATTTCTTAACTTACGATTTCACCAAAACAGCACCGACAAGTTTGATTTCTTTAACTGACTGCACTCCAGCAAACGAGTAAAAAGCAGGCAATGCTTTGAGTGCAATTTGTGTTAACAAAACCATCCTGAGGCACATAATGTAAAACACAACCTGGTTGCTTCTAGATAACAGCCTTATTTGTTTATGGTTACAATCATGAAGCAAAATCATTTTTAAATTGCTGCTCACAGCAGTGGGGAAAGGTAAACGTGAAAAAGCCCATCGACTGAGCACCTTAAACACAGAGTCTGCTGCTACGTGGTCATGCAAAGTAATCCCCAGCCTGCTGGGATACTGATTACAAGACCAGCGGGTTTAGCAAACAGGCAAAGTTGTCTAACAGACGAAGGATTCAGGAGTTCAATAGAACCACAGGAGGTTTGGCGGTACTAGTTTATTTTTTGGTGGCGAGTCATTTTAAAAGGAAAAAACAAAACAAGAATGGAGGTGAAGATTTCCACAGGAGGAAAGTGATGAGCGAAATCATGACAGCTGTGAGTATGTGCAGATGGATAGACAGGCAGACATTACTACTGTATATCTGTACAGGGACAGAGAAACTCATCCATAGCACCAGCACACTGTCCCGCTGCCTGTCTTTGGCAGTCTTATCACTTTCCACTGGGACTTTTCTAATTTATGACCATGACTTTCATCTTCTGTTCCCACCGTATCAGCAGGTGGTGGATGGGATGGAGTTTCCCAGCAGCCACTTTAGGATTGGTTTTCTGCCAGGCACTGCTGCAGTGCAGCTCTCACCAATATGACAGCACGAGTAGATGTGCCAGTCTGCAGAACGTTTAGCACACAAACACTCCGTCCTCTGCTGTAGTCAATTTAGTAATATTAAAGAAAGATGGAAAGTGTGTGTGTGTGTGTGTCTGTGTGTTTATAGTCTCATCTTTTTCAGCACAAGGTTGCCTTTGAGAGTTTGTGCGCATGAGCTAGAGATAGGAGAAAGACTGAGCGTGTTTGTGTGCACCTGTATGATGAATTCATTCGTGTTTATCAAATCTGAGTAGCAACTTTATGCTGTGTGGCTTCCTTTTCCGAAGGCAGCGTGGTTAACACCTCCTGCCCTGCTTTCAAGGAGACTTTCATGTGAAGTAGTGAGATGATTGATGGAGCCAGCGCTACTTTTGCCCATAGGAGAGCAATGAAGAACACCGTTAACTGCTCTGTAAATTTGGCTGGTTCTTATAGTCCTCTCATATTCTATCCAGGAAGGCGCTTCTGGCTCACAGCTGTGACTTCCAGGCTGAGGGAAACCGTACAAATCTTTCTTTTTAGAGAAATGGTAGACGGGTAAAAGGTTATTTTCAGTCTCCTTCACTATGATTTATAGTTTTACATCTGCTGCTGATTGTTACCTGTTTGTGAACTGTTGTAAGCTGGTCGAGGTTGGTTTCAAGAAAGGAAATCTTCTGTTTCTGGGTGATGTATCCTCCACTATCGTCAAGCTCCATCTGTGCACTCTGTTGACAGAAACAGTACAGATCTGTTAGGTTTGAAAAAACACTGCCATCGCAAATACTATAGTTAAAAAGAAATTGCATTCAGTCCAGGTGCAGCCACATGAACTCTAACTACACTTGCTATAGTATGTGGAAAAATGTAATATTTTAAGTGTGTTGTGTATTGAAGTTGCGTCTGGCTTACTCTTCTAACTCGAGTCGTGAGGTCTTGAACAAAAAGCTTGCGGAGGTTGTGCAGCGTGTAGAGTTCACGAGCCTTTGGTATGAAGGGAGAAAGGAAATAGCGATAGTCAAAGCAGTTATAGTACTTAGTGGATCAGTGGCCTCTGAGGGAGCCAAGAGAAACGTGACAGTAAATAATGACTTACAACAGTCTCTTCCAGCCCTTTGAGGTCCTTCTTTGACTGCTCATGTCGCTCATGGAGAAATCTATAGTCAGACAGATAGATAGAAGATTATATAACACTTTCTATGATGCCAATGTCAAATGCTATAGAACATTCTAAATGAACTTTTCTTTACCACAAATGAGTACCACTTTCTTGCTAAAATAATTGATGAATAAAGAACAAACGCAATCATAGACTGTCTGCCCCACTAGTGGGCTGTTTCCCATCTGCCATCTGATGCAATATGCTGCAAAGGTCAGTGCAGAAAGAGGCCTATTAGCAGCCAGCTGCTACCTTATCCCTAAACTCCATAATGGAGATGCAAATAGATGTACACAGAAAGACAGAAAGAGGCAAAGAGAGGGTTAAAAGGGTAATCCTCCAGATAATTTTAGCCACAAACTTAATGACTGTAAAACGCCACAAGGAGAGAACAGGGAAAGTAGGATGACAGAGCTGCAGAGTGAGAGGAAAATAAAACAGACTAAGGGAAGACAAATGACAGAGAGAAATGGAAGATGTGAATCAAAAGAGGCAGCTCGCTCGCCCTGGGGCCTCCATATGGTGAAGTGTTTGAAAGCTGGCCAGGACAGTAAAGCAGAGACTCACGTCAGTTCCTCCAGCTGCCGGCTCTTGTGACGCTCTTGGCTCCTGAGATGTATAAAGTCACAGTGCAGTTGCTCCAACTCCAGCTGTTGCTTCTGGTTACAACTGAAAATATGAATAATAGCGCACTCAGTTCAATGGATACTTTCAAAAAAAATAAGATTTCAGCATGTAGGTAAATACTAAAAGGTGAAATATAATCTGTGATACAATGGATGCAATCTGGAAATGATGGTCAGCTAGCCAAAATTATTTTATCCCCCTATGCCAACCAGGGGTGCAGTTCATAACTAAAATGAATGAAACGAGTTAGCAACTAATGTTAGCTATGTGTTTGCAAGCTATTCTAGTCAGCTAATGCACTTTCAAACATTATACTGCATAGCTTTCAGATTTATTCACATTCCACTATAAACACAAGTTTCATACCTTCAAAATGCTTTAGCTTAACTTACATAAACATAGTTAGCCTAGAACTGTCATTATTTGCACAAAATGCTTGCCGCACACATAGGCACACTGTCAGGATCCCACAGGATGCCTCACGTGTTATTTCCTGCCTGTATCAACTTTTGCATTCTTAACAGCTCAGCTTTTTGGTTCAGCAGCTTATGAAAAAGTAGTTATGGATTCATTTCAATGTCGTTAATGCATCCCATCACAGATCAGCTTTTAGGCATTTTTCTGCGGTTTGCTAGCAGACAGAATTGAGAAGGAGGCACCTTCATGCAATACAAAGTCAATGAAGTGCAATCAATTATTTTCCCCTCTGCTGTGGGCGGGACGTCATTGTGCTCTGTCACTATGTAGAGTTAGGATGTACTTTTTCCTTAAAGTCACATCCGAGCTGTACTATCTGGACAGGCGTTATGGCTAAGTAAAGGGGTACTGTACCTTTACTGTACAAATACATTCTGTTTTTTTAATATTTTTTAATGCCCCTTCCCTCTGCAAAAAGGTGCACGCCTATACATGCCACTGCATGTCCTATCAATTTGAACCATTTTCTTCTTTGATTCTTCTTGAATCTCAGAAGAACATTTATTGTACACCCGCTTTTGCTGCTCTGCTTTAAGGATCTGAAGGGCCACACTGCTCCACTCCACTGACCCACTGACATCCCTCCATCCATCCATTTACAAGCTGCTTATCCAAATCAGGCAATTCCAGCACGACCAGCAGAGTAGTCTTTTCATTCAGAAATCCTCTGCAGCTGCTCCTTGGGTGTTACCAGACACTCCCCGGTCAGCTGTGAAACCTACTTTAGTTCCTTAAGAGGGTCTGCCCTGCAGGCTGCTCCTTTACGGTCACGCCTGGTACAGAAAATCTTCCCAAGAAGGCACTTGAAATGGCCTGTTTTCTAGGAGCCCAAACAAGCCAAGTGGCTCCTCACATTGTGGTTCAGCAGCAGCTTGACTCTAAAGTCCTCACAAGCTTCAGCTTCCTAGTGCGACTACCCACACATATTGAATTCAGCCCCTCTTGCAGCTTGGGTGGGGCTTCGAGAAGTAGGGCCTTTTGAGAACTCAACTACTGACACCATGAATCCCGAAATTTTGGCATTTTCACACTGCTTGTGAGGGTGGAATTGAATTTCAGATTTGAGCCCACAGACAGCTGACAGAGTGGGTAAGCTGTCTGCTTCTGGAACCACATACAAACTGTATTATATAGAGCCAACAGTCTGTTCTGAAAGATAGAAGTAGAAAGGCCTATTTATGCCTAAAAAGTATTTCTAAAGCGGACCCCTAATTTAGAAATCCTGATGCAGTATATCAGAGAAGGTGAAGAATTACAATGGAGCACTGACTCAGTCAAGTCGTCGATGATCTCCTGCTTCTCATTGATCTCGTCTCGTAGGCGCCCAAGCTGTTTGCTGTGTGACTCACGATGTGACTCCATCTGCTGCTCCAGAGCCCTCTGAGGTACGAGCAACAAGAGTGTGTGAAAGACATACATTTAGAGAGAGTAGAGGTGGGAACCAATGGAAACCTAAATGACTAACGAACAAGAGGGGATATAATTACACACACCAGTGCAGATGTGGACAGAGAGAGCCACATGGGCATTACACACACACACACACTCACACACAAGGTTGTGTTATACACCGCCACTGAGTTTGAAGCATAGACTGTAGATGGACGACGCGACCCTACTTCTTTCCACTGTACAGAGGTGAAGCCAAAATATTTCACATAAGAGTCTGCGCAGTAGTAATTTGGGGGCTGGAGCCATGGTATCGAGGCCCCGCCTATACATCCACTTGAACCAACCGCAAGCAGAGCACGGCCACAGAATCACGGCTGTCAATCATGAAGTCAACCCCCTTTTTATAGAATCAAATAACTAATTAAAGCCAAACTAATCAAAAAAATGGGCACTTGAACATACATCAGCGTGATAAGAACTACCTAAAATGAAATTATTGGATGTGAACTTAAATGCTTTTTGTTTGGCCCATCTGCCATCCGCTATCATGGAGGGTGCGGGATGTATAACCTTTCCTGCAGCTAGCCACCAGGAGACGACCAAGGTGTTTTAGCTTCACTTTTGGGGAGCGGTCATGTCGTCCATCTATACATACAGTGTATGGTATGAAGTGAGACAAGGCTAATGAATCTGGTATGTGCCCTACACACACACACACAGATATGCACAAACAAACTCATGAACACGTGCACAAGTACAGCACAGGCAGATAATTCAAAACAATAAATACTTAATTGAAATCCCTGCATACAGAAAACCATGGGGCCTAGTAGTCATCCAGTACTAATGTGCTGCTGTGTAAAATGTAATGAAGCTGCTAGCTTTGACCCGCGACCCCAAACAGGTTAATCTAGGCATGATAGTGCCGAGAAAATTTGTCAAATAATTGAAAAATCAATGTACAGAAAATGTAATTTTTCCATCAAACATTAGCTGTTTCCAGCATCTCAAATGTGAGGACTTGCTGCTTTAGTCTATTTTGTGGTTGTGGACTGTTCACTTGAACAGTTTTTCTTGCCAAGAGCTTGGTGAGAAAATGCATACAAAATTGGACACAACTGATCAAAACATAGAAAACTGGAAAGTGTGTAAAAAAAAAACAAAAAGTCTGCCAACCAGCACGTCTGAAGTTCACTAATTAACAATCTATTTTATGTGTGATAAAAATAACAAATGGTGGTTATGTTTCTGAACATCTGTTGGCTGGGACCAGTTGCTAGACAGCCAGCAAAGACTCCAGGAAGTAACTCCTCCGAACCAATAAATAGTCAGACACATAACCCCCCACCCCCTTAAACTGAAAATTACCATTTTTTTCGCTACGATGTTTTTACATTTGGACTGAGTCCGCCTAACCGTTTCCAGTCTCACGCTAGGCTAAGCTAAACTAAATCATATAGACGTGTGAGTGGCATGGATCTTCTCATCTAACCAGCAGGAAGAAGGTCAAATAACATATTTCCCAAATTGTTAAACTATTCCTTAAAAAAAAAAAAAAATACTGTTAGTTGCAGGCCTGGTTTACAATCATGATCTGATGTACAAGCCTAGACACAGTATGCGCACACATGACTGCACACTCGTGGAGACAGACAAACGCATCACACCTGCAGTTAGCTGAGTGCTGAGGCGTGCGACAAAAGGTCATCACACTACGTTGTTCTCACTGTAGTCATGGTTACCTTTATATCACAGGACTCCTGGGCAGATGAGTGATGGTCCCCGCCGGTCACCTTTGCCATTCTCTCTAAAACAAAACACACACCCATTCAAGAGAACAACAGTGAGAGAAACCGAGACAGAGCAGATAAAAGACACTGATGAAGATGGAAGAGGTGACAGTCACCTGACTTTGACAGCACAACAGTACTGCTGCTTCATGTTGACAGCGAGGTCAGCGTGATCCAAAGCCGTGCCTCGGGTGCAACAACACATATTATTTAATGTGACATCTATTGTGTTACGCCGATCTGACGTTAACTCACTGCTGTTCCTGGTGTCGGATGATGACATTACAGAGCCCTCTACCTCGCATCAGGCTCGGTGATCAACGCGTCCTGTGGCACGTTGTATCTGTCTACTTCTGTAATGACTGAAAGACCGCATGCCTCAAGTGTAGAGTAGGGCCAAAATTGATTTACCCGCCCATAATCCACCAAACGACTCCTCGGGAATACTGACTTGCATTGCCTTTGGCCTGATTGGTGAATTGCATCAGTGTCCTGTGAATATCTGCAGTTAGATGGACTTAGCATACATTTTCAAATGTACGATTAATCCATTCATGCTGGTGCTATAAAAGGCTTTGGAGCCGAAGCTGTTCATCGGTGTTTACCGTTGTTCTTTCTTGACAGGACAAAAAGGCTCCTGGCACAGACTAAAACGCTCCACTGAAGCCATAGTTTTAATCAGCACTTCCTCAAAGTTCCAGTTCGGTGGAACTTAAACACAGTGATACCTTTGCTGTCTTTTTCATGGTTTACTTTGTCTACACATGATTTTGTTTTGCTGGGTCCCAACATTCAACTTTTTTTTGACTTTGGCATCGCAAGTCATTTATTAAGTAAAATGTAGCTCAATCTACATATTGTCCTTCACTGTGCAGTGAGCAAGAAGACATTTTCCTACTTCACTTTAGACTTGGAATAAACACTTCCTGCTTTGTTATTTCGATCACGTAGATAAAACATCTCAACCTGAGCCGGGGGGGCGAAGACATTTTTATTACAAATCCGTACCTGTACATTGTATATGTGCTGCACTGACTGTGATTATTCAATATTGATCCTTGAACCCTGGGCTTGGCTAGATTGTTAGATTTCACCTCAAAAGCTTGGTTTATGTACTCTTACAAATATGCTGCATCCTCAACCTGGCTGTGTATTTCAGCATCTAGTATTTCAGAGTAGAACACTGAGATTATACAGTCCATCCATCGCCACTTTAGTAACACTAGCAACACGGCTCTGTGGATTGCAAAGTTGGTCATTTAGTCCATCGCTGTAGTCCAGAAAAAAGAATCTAACTATTGGATGGATTGCTATGAAATTTGGTGCACACATTAATTTCCCCTCAGAGTGAATCCTGATCCTTTCACTTTTCATCTAGCTTCATCACCAGGTCAACATTTTAGTTTGTCCAGTACAGCGTAGCCATCATCATCAGATAGAGGCTAATTTGTGGTTGGTGCTTTTTAGGAAATGTTAGCATGCTAACAGACTAAACTAGGATGGTGAATATGGTTAGCATTATCATTGTGAGCATGTTAGCATGCTGACATCAGCATTCAGGTCAAAGCATTGCTGTGCTACTGTTGCACTTCAATTATTATAGTTTTTTTTTTTTACTCTACTAAAATATAACATTAGTCTACCTTGAGCTTGGAGTTTGGCCAGCTCCTCGCTCAGAGAGTCGTAGCTGTCCTCCAGCTTCCTCTTCTTCAGCTCCACGTTCTGCATGTAGTCCGTTAGAGAGCGGATCTTTGCCTCGTGCTGAAAGTCAGAAGACAGCGTCTCAGATGCAGAAAGTGACCTCTACAATACAACGCTTTACACCAAGGGTAAAATGTACTATTTACTCACTGTGAAATGGATATAATCTACATTTAATATGGCCTTCATAATTTATTTGGGAGTTTAATTCAAATGTGAAACACTTTAGAATTGTAAACACTTAGTCAGTGGTACCAGACAGTAGAAATATGGAATATATAATGCACCTTAATATTTGACTATTTTTAACATAGAATACTTAATATCAGGAAAACCTTTTTAAAAAGCAATTCCTAACTCTCATGAAGGCAGATCAACTGTAATATTTACCTGAAACAGCCGACATGAACCCTGTATTTGGCAGGTTAATTTTATCCTCAGCCCATAATAGTTAAACTCACAACATCATGCCTTCAAGCAACCACGTAAATACAAAAAATACAAAACACGCAATCCTTTAAGAATCAGGACAGTTTGTACACTAAAAACTTCTGATGTGCTGTTGCCACAAACAGTTGAGTGACATTTCCAGCCCACTGCTCTTCATCAGAGTGATTAATATTAAACAAAGGCCCACGTAAGTATCTGTGATGTTAATTAGTCTGATGAAGACTGGAAACGTCAATCTCTCATTGGTGATTATAATAAATATTTTGCACTGGGAAGTTTCAGTGTATATTGTTCTGATTTCTCCACATCAATCCCAACATTTCCTGCGACACTGACAGATTTACCAACTTTTTTCTTGGACCAGATGTTTTCAGCTATTTGCTCCATCAGTCCCTCACCTGTGAAACGAGGAGGTGACATGAGGACAGCTCTCTACACGTCTCCTCCATCTTGCGGTGAGACTCCATCTGGATGTTCTCCAGGTGGCGGCAGCGCTTCACCATGGACTTAACCTCTGACTTTATCTTACTGATGTAGAGGCGGGCCACTGTGAACTCCTCCTCGATCGCACCACTGACCTCCATTGGCTGCAGACAAATGAGGTAGAGAGAAAGTGAGACTGTTAATAGAGTAGTGGAGACTTTTAGTTAAGATTGAGCGAGGACGATTTAAAGACAGCTGGGAAGTTAAAAGGCGAGGGCGGCATCTTAGAAACTCTTTCTGACATCTTGTGGGCACATCCATTAGGTTAATAGCATCATTTAGCAGATGCCGTGACTCAGATGCTCTGAAATGAACAGCTAAGATACATCAGTGGATATGCCCATTGCCTATCCCCAGGTGAAATATTGAAATCTTGATAGTCGACGGAAATGCAAATACCGACTATAATGCATGGCTCTGCAGCTGGAACTCACACAGCCACAAACACACAGGTATTTCTTTTAAATGCTCATCAAGATTCTCAAACTCCCCCAGATGCCTAACACGTCAGGTTGAATTAGAGAGAAACGTATAAAATGATGCACTAGACATTTTAAATGTTCCACTCTGTCTTAGGTTTTAATGTTCCACTCAGTGCATGTTTGATACAGCTTTACTGTATTTACACATAACTATTTAATTGACATTGCAGTACAGTTTGAACGTTTGAAGCCTTATCTGTTTTTGCTCAGCTTTATTTACAGGTTACATGTCTTAACCAGGCACTCCATATATTGTTATTTCCAGAATTAGTTCGGATATTCAGTCATTTCGTAATTTTACGTGTGAGTGGACCTATACATGTTGCAAGACAATGGTTTTTAATTGTTTTTTTTAGAGATGTTCATCTACAAGCTCAATTTGTCCAAGTACCCTCTTGAGTACAAGTCACCTTGGTTGGGAAGGTGTTTGGTATTTTTTTGATAGGATCTGGATTAATAAGCAACACCTTTTTTAATATGATTTTAAAAGCATGTATGGACATTCCTTCTCAGACACGTCATGTTCACTGGAAAGAGTAAGATGCGCTGATTACAGAAGTCTGTGTGTGACATCTATGCGCTCTAAATATTTACTCTAAAATGAGGAGGGTGCAGTTTTTTTCTGGTTAATTGTATCGGTTGTGTCCAAATAGTTAAATGTTTCTGACTTTGATTGTGGGCGACTATAGAGATTCAAACATTTGGGTAGAGAAGTTTGAAACAGTAAGAAATATTAAAAACTGCATTCAAATCAAATGTCTCGTCTTTTGTCAGACACAATGTCTCCAAGCCTGCATTTTGCATCTCACTCACCAGCTTGATGTCCTTGTTTCCAACGATGGTGCTGAACTCACTCAGGTCCCTCATCAGACCGTTAAGGATCTCAGAGATGCGTTTCCTTTGGTGGCTGCTCACTGCCTTGATACGAGACAGCTCTGCCTCTAAAGCCATGAGCTGAGCCTGTTGAAGAATGAAATGAAAGAGTGAACACAGAGGAAGACGAGAGAGGAAGTTCAGAAAACAGAGGGGAACACCAGGAGAGAACATTGTGTAGAAGATTGAGAGTATTTCAACCTCCAAACACACACACAGCTGCGAGACCCAGTTCAACCCCTGACCTCATTCTCATCCAACAAATCCGAGTAGCAAAAACAGAACAGCCACTAAATTACAAATCAATAAACTACTGAGATAGGGGCTGATGGCAGCGGCGCTGGATGAAAGCATCTGGGAGAGTGAATTATGGAGCTCCATTTTGTACAGCAGGCAGCTGCACCATTGAAGGTCCAATGGCTCGAACATGATGAAACAGTTTGGGTCCAATCGATAATTCTACAGGGCTAAAGAAAATAAAGTTCAAGAGGATGGTTAACCATTTACCACCTTAAATACAGTAACATTAACTCCGTAATTAGCCTCTCCATCTTCATCTCCCTCATTAACTTCAAGCCATGTGATCATTTTCCAGGTCACTTCCCATGTCAAAACATTAACTTTGCACAAAAGGTAGGAAATAATTAACAGAAAATCAATCGATTCATGGGTAAGTAAAAGCAAATGTGGTCAATGAAAAACATTGATGAAGCGATTCGGAAGAGAAGAGATGATTTGTTGAATGATGAATGGAATTAATCATAACGATAGAAAGGGTGGACGGATGGATGAAAGAAGGTGCTTAAAAGGACCAGAAGAATGGCAGCGACAGTGAGCGATGGCATGGCCTCCTGCAGAAGAAGAGAGGAGCCTCCACTGAAAGCAAGATGAAGGTTGCTGAGGTGAACGTGGGGTAAAGACAGTGATGAATGTACTCCATTGCACCATTTTTCTAGGTCAATGCCGCTCCATGTCTACTGTAGATATAGAAAAAATGTAAATCTGCAACACTGCACATTAGCATAACAGCTGGGATGCAGAAAATAGAGAATTTGTAATGAGGAGTGAGAGGGAATGGAGTTGGAAAAGCCCATGTGAGGCTGGGATAAGAGGATTTATTGTCAGACTGCCAGGCGCGTCTCTGAGAGGACATCGTGTCAGGTGAGAGGTCAGGGCAGAACAGGCTAAAACATCTATAGTGAAGGCGTACTAAGTTATATAACTGAGGAAAGAAGGAGGTTTAAGCTGGCTTTAGAAGACTTAACGGTGCAGTGAGTAGTTACATTGTCAGTTCTGTTTATCAATTTCTGGACCAGCTTTAGAGAGAGACAGAGAGGGAGGAGAGGACACTGTGGCGTGTAAAACGGACGAATGAAATATTGAGGAGGTTTCAAGAAGGTGAATAATGGTCCACTCTGTCCACTGAGTCAGTCACAATGACTTCATTAACCGACTGGCCAGCTCTGACAATAGTCTCTTACCTCGAATACAAACCTTTAAAATCATCAATACACACTGTAAGAAGATTTGTACTGAGCTGCTTCTCTGATAAACTCTTTCCACATTTAAAAGCGCCTGAAAACTGGGATTGAAATTGAATATTTCTCAATGACATTTAATATTCACAACCAAGTAAGCAACAATCAAAGTTTAAGAAGTTTAACAGCTTTTGATTAAAATGTTACTGAACTCTGATGCACGGAAGTACATACAACTGAGCCCCGCCCAAACCAGTAAAAAGTCTGTAAAACAAAATACAGAAATAGCCCAAACTGGTTCAACTTTGAACAAATACCATGTCCATGAGGGATCCCAACACTCTACCACGAAGAAGCTAACTGACGAAAAAAGTTTCAGCGTATTTGAGTTCTCTAGACTTCAAAACTAAAAACATCTTCAGACCGTCACTAATTGAAAATTCTGTTTTTAAGACTTTTCAAAGCCTTAAAAACTGACATGAATATGTTTGGTGCTATACATAGTCATGGAAAGGATTGTTTTATTAAAGTGGAATATCATTAATCACTAATTTCACAGGCTTTTGCAGATGAACTATGCCAGATTTAATCAACCGCAATTTAATCTTTGCCAACATTGAATGCTGTCCTCATGTGAACCTGCTATTTAGTGAAAATCCCGGCTTTAGAGCGACTTTGTGAGATTGCTTTGAAAACGGACCATAACCAAATCAAAAGTCAGCCTCCGAGAGAAATCCAGTTTTTAACTGTTTATTTATGGTCATAGTGCAAAACAACCAGCCACGTCTCATAAAATTGACTGAGTCTGAGAGCAAATTCAGGGTTGAGCTAAAGAAATGCCAGTGCTGGCTGGAATTTGAACAATATTGGTGAATTTATGTCAAGTTGTTGATTAATGTCTGGAGTGAGTTTCCCTCTTTCCACCCTTTATATATGTATATAGTTCTTTCTAATACTTTTAGCCTTAGATGCATCTGTTCATGTCTGCTGGCTGCACAGTTAATCAGAATTTCTCTCTTAAATTTCCTTTCTCGCAGCTCTCTAATTTATCATTATCTCTCAAATTGCATTTTGAGCCAATAGCTCCACATATTCTGGAAAGACAGGGACTTAAATGGATAGATGGATGCTACATTTTATATGCCTAGATTTTATATGCCTAAATACTTCTTTCTTTTTTTTTCTAATTGTTTTTATTATATAATCCACAGCACATTTTGTCCATGCCTTTAATAACTAATCCTTCTCTGTTGCTGCCTCTTTGTTTTGATTTTTCTCTTCTTCATTCTTTCTGTCCTTCCCTGATCGGCCATTTTTACAGTATAGCAGAAATGTTTTTTCACCTCTATGTCAAGAAACTGAGCCTCCAGAGAGCCAAACCCACCATTTTCTTTGCGAGCTCTTCAGCCAGCAGTTTCTTCTGCACGCTCTTCTCCTCGACCTCCAGGCTCTTCTGGTCGTAGTTGACTGCCAGCTCCTCCAGGGCTTGGAGGACCTCCTTCACCTCGGCCTTAGCCGATTCATTCTCCGTCTGCAGCCTGCCGAGTTCCGACTGCACCCTATCGCTGTTACCCCTGAATGATGCTAGAAGCTGAGGGACACAGAAGTTTAACAACTTAATAGAAACTGTGAATAAAGAAAGATTTGATTGAAAAGAGCTTTGTGTACAACAAGCAGTGTCTTCATTATTCAAAAGGCAGAGCTGCTGGGTTTTAATAAAACATAATTGTGGAATTTATCTCGCTCTCTTGGTAGTAACAGATACGCCTGTGTACAAACCCTGTTACTCAAAACAGCTGTGATTTTACAGATAAAACACACTTTAAATATTCATCTTACTTAAACTCACTTGAAGCTGTAAGAGCGACATCATTTTGCCATCATGTTTTTTTTTTTTGCATGTGCACTGCTGCAGCCCATCGTGGGCCAGTTTACTGGATGGATGTCATTAAATGAAGATATTGCTCTACCCAGGGTGCCTGCATGTTTGAACTGTAGCATAAAGCTTCTGTTTGGCCAAATGGATGTAAAATCATGTTACTGTACACAAAGCTATGGTCGGGTATTCACCATCATGTCAGCTCAACCCGCAGGAGGCCCATTTGGGGATATGAATGAACCAATTTAGCAAATGTGGAGATTTTTACTGGGCAGTGCACTACATGCATAAGCTTGGTTCAGGCCGTTTAGCCCCCTGTTATGAATGCTGTAAATACTGTTGGTAATTGCATTTTAATAGTCCTTTAATTGCTGTTTTTCCCACAAGTAGCATATACAGACAGACCTGTTTCGTGTAGATTCATGTGAATAAAGGGCTGTACACCATTTCTATTAATTAAGAGGTCTCTAAATTCACAAAGATGGTGGAGTCATGCTCATCCACAGCATTCTAAATCACATATCGAATAATTAGAGAGCTTTTGTTTGTTTGCTTAACAGCTACAATGTTAGCCATGCCGACTAAAATAGGCAACAATGATCTTTCCCTTTTCGCACATCACGCTTCAATCCTTCATCAATCTTTGTGTCGATCCTTCCCTCCACTCATTCGTGTCTGAGCAGCCACTAAAACCCATTCTATTCTAAACTGCTGTTAAACACGGAAATACACTTACTATTGAACAATAATACTTTATTTTCTTCAAGTGCTTTCTGGCACCTGAAAAATGTTTTCTCATCCGTCTCAAGGACGAGGGAATAAACCTCTCGCAGCTGACTTCTATTCAAAGGGAGGTATAGATTACAACATGCAGCCTACTGTGAGCCGCTTAACCAAACTGATCAACGGATGTAAAACCGAAGTCTTTTACCTCCTCCTGGTCAAGCATCTGCTCCTTCAGTTTCTCCACCATCTGGCTCTGGTGGTTGATCTCATCATCCTTCACAGGCAAAGAGACAGTACATTTACAGTGTATGACACAAACTTGTACATTACAGATACTTTGTACATTGCGTGTATTTTGGGTTCTATGTCCAACAACGACTATAAGTTTTGAGCTTGCACTAACTGCATAAATGAGAGATATGGAGTAGGAAAAAAAAATGAATACAGTAGAACCATGGACAAAAGCACAGATTATCTTTGAGTATGTTAAATCACAACTCAAAAAACAGATATTTGATGGTCTGTGGTCAACTGATCATGCATCACCTAAAGGCAGGGGTCACTAATAGTCAGAGTCCGGACTCAGACGCCGTTGTATCTGGACCCTGGACTTACCGATAGATAATTGAGAATTATGACATTTTCACGGAGCGCTTCTTTTAACTGGAGCAGCTTTTCTAGCATTTACGGCACTCGTTTAGCGGTCCAGGAAACACACCAACCAAATATGTGAGTAGTAAACCATCTCACGCTTATGCTACTCGGGCCAATCACATGTGTGTATTCCGATAACTATCGCCCTCATCTCGAGTAAGATAAACACACACACACATGAGAGACGGGGAGAGAGACCCAACAGTCGGAAAAAGTATGTGAGTCAGATGAGTTATTGACATGCTCGAAAAAGAGAAATGTGGACAGCTTAACCAGAGTCTTTAACCAAGAATGAACAGACTCTTATGTGTATTATTCCCACAACCAGTTCAAAACCAGTATGTCTCATATGTTCAGAGACTGTGACGATTATTAAAAGCGACAATGTGAAGAGCCCCTACGAGACAAAGCACAACTCTTTTGAGCAAACGTACCAACTCACATCCGAAATGAAGGCACAGAAAAATAAACCTAAGAGACAAATATCATCAGAATGATGAATTCACTGTCCAACAATGATGTTAATAGAGAGGAATAGAGCTGAAACAAGTGGTTTAAATAACACACAGATAAAATCCCTGCACACAATTTTCTCTTTTTAGAAGATAAGAATATAATATCGTGGCTCTTTTGATTGACATCACTTCTACATGAATAAACTGAATTTAAAGCTGCAGGACAATTCAGTTAAATACATTTCTCTAAAAGTACTTTATTTTAAAAGCCACCTTTTTCAAAAGCTTTCTGTTATGCATTGTTTTTTTGTATCCAGCCCTTATTTTACTTGAAATGAGAGAAGAACATTTATGTATTATTACAGTATGAATTATTTACAATTAATAAATATCTCATGTCTTTTTATGTGACTGAAAAAGACAAGGCTATTTTCCCCCTCATACGCATTGAAAAGGAAATACAAACTGTGGAACTCAATTGATACACCACTGGTTCTGCATATTAAATGGAACATCTGTTCATAAAAGCAATAAAATGACACACTACAATACCGTGGAGCACATACATGAGCATGTGTTAAATAAATCAAAACATGAATGCTTTTTAGTGTAGAACATTACTATTTCCCCGATGACCTTCATTCCCAAGAGTTACAACATCAGTCACGACTATGTGTCTGATCCTGAACTCATTAATATGAATAATACATGTACGATATGCTCTTTGTGTTCATGTGTGCATACCATTACATCCATTGAGAGTTACCAGCTCTAAATTCATGAACAGAAATGCTCCTGATGCGGCATCCGTTCATTCACCTTATCATCCAGCTGTTTGTAAAGCTTGCGGATCTCCTCCTCATACTTCTGCCGCTCCTCTGCAGAGATGTGAACCACAATGGAGGAGGCAATGGAGCGAGGACTGCAGGGACTGCAGATGTCGACAAGCAGCTCCTCAGATTCAGGAGGCACCAGGGAGACGTCCTCTGATCCTGGGCTCAGATCCTTTAACACAGCGACATCCTCACCTAAAGACGAGAGACAGAATATTGGATTTCTTTCGTAAATGCGAAACGTTCTTACCTCTGCCAAATCCTCCGCTATGGATTAATGCATAAAAAAGGGATTAGTGGACTTATCTTCAGCATAGGTCATTAATACATTTATATCCCAGGTTTCAGATATTTCTGTGCCATAAATGAGCTTCCTTATAAAACAGCAGTATAACATACCAGACCTTAAATTAAAATGTCAGTTGAGTCGTGTCTGGCTTTGGTTCAGAAGAAAAAGAGGGGAGCCATGAAATGCACAAAAGTGAGAAAATTCAGTATGCTAATTGTACACAAGTTCATCCTGGACCTAAAAGTTCAACAGTGTTCGTCTCAGGGAGTTCCTGGCCTGAGGTGGGCAACAGTATAGGGAGCAGAGATGGAGGAACGGGGGCAACGATGTTGTCAAAATTATACATTAGGAAATTAAAAGTACTAAATTGTGAGAGAGCCTCTCAGGCAGATGGTGAAGGGAAAAGTTGTGTGTGTGTGTGTGTGTGTGTGTGAGAGAGAGAGAGAGAGAGAAGAGTAACAGAGGAATGAAGCAGTTAAAGGAATCATTTTCACTGATAGCTGTTCAATAAAGATGTGTTACAGTGTTTTTTAAATTCAGGTCAAGCACCGAGAGAATCCTCTCCGAGAAATAAATCGGAAAAGATTCATTACGTGGCTTGAATGTCAGCCCATCACTACCATTGAGTGCACTGACATTTAAACTGACTTACAGCCCAGCAGGAGACGATGCCTAGAAGTGTGTGCGTGCTCGTCATTAAGAGTAAATTTGTTCGTGTTCAGTGCTTCACGTGTGGTGTTTTTTTGCGTGTGAACTTACACAGGTATGTGTGTGCTAACATGGGAGAAGTTACGGCTTCCCTGTAGAAGTGATTAGCCCTTGTCACCATGAGGATTACTAATACACAAGGATTCATAAAAAAAAATAAAGCCTTCGGCACAATGAGAGGAGAATCCAATTATACAAAGTGTAAAATCTGAATAACAGTTGCCAGTAGAAGTGACCAGAAAGGGATTTTCAAGTGTTTGGGCACAAGTCCAGCAAGTCTGTTTGGCTGCTATCCTCCCACATCTCCACTGGCATGTATTCAGATGACATCAAATGAGGTTAAATCTGCACTTAGGTGGACTGAAAAATAATGTCTGCAGGCTAGCTGGCTGGTAATTTTTGTATTCCTCTTAGTCAGTGCTCTTCCATGCATGAAACAGGAACAAGCACTATGTGTAGAGGGTTTTCTATAGGAGACCACTGCACTTCTATTGCTTCACTGTACAGGAAGCTGATCTTTTTCACCATACATTAAATCAATTACTTAGTGCCCTGGCTGATGATGATTTTCTTGCATTCCCTTTGTGTCATTAACTATTATATTTTTAGCCATACATATCTCAACTACTATTGGTGTGATTGCCGTACAATTTGGTACACACATTCATGTCCCACACAGGGTGTTTTGCACTCCTTTCGTCTAGTGGCAGCAGGGGATTTTTTTTATTTGTCCACTACTTTCGTTAATGACCAAATATCTTCAAAAACGAATGAAATTGCAACGTATAGCCATCCTCAGCAGTAGTTAGGAAGTGAAACTAAAATGGTGAGCATGCTAAACATATCTGCTAAGTATCAGCATGTTGTCATGGTCACTGTGAACATTAGCTCAAAGCAAAGCCTCTCAGCTGCAAGAGTGGCTGTAGACTTAACAATTAAATACACTTTGCACAAGGTACTGATCATGTCTAAATGCCTTGGCAACAAGTTTCAGAGTTCTTCTCCGGCAGAAGAGTTAAAATATTCCATGTATTTGTGAGCTGGCAGCGTGATATCTGTAAGAGTATTACCGTTCCTCCAGCGATTCAGCTCAGTCTCCAGTCTTTGAACAGTCTCCTTCAATGACCTGTTCTTCTCCTTCTCCTTTTCGTACTTCTTCTTCCACTGCTCTGCTGTGAGCTCAAGGTTCACTGATACAGTATTTCTAATGGTCTTGGCTCTAATTGGAGGGATGCAAGGCAAAACAGAGAAAGGGGAAAAGATACAGAAAAGAAGGGGGAATAAAGTGTGTGAGAGAACAGCAGAGAACAGACGAACTGTCAACGAGGGTATTTCAGCCCCCGCGGCTCAATGAAAATGGGCTTGCATCTCATTAATTGGTATGCAAATTGGGTTTCTGACAACTGTGTTTGATGGTGCAAGTAGGTAGAGGAAGGTAAACTGAGAGGCAAGAATTCAAAATGTGAAAACCCTTCTGACCTTAAAACATGTAAAACATATTCACCACATCAACATATAGCAGTCATACAGTTAATAAGAGGATGAGGGTACTGTATGTATGCGACTATAAATCATTGCTCAATCATGACGCAAATGAGTGGCGTCACAGAGTTGAAATATTCATGATGCTACGGCCAAAGCACTCAGCTCCGGCTGTGAATTTCACATCAGTGGTTATCACTTAATTTCACACTCCAGTGAGAAAGCACTGTGTTGTCCTTGTTAATTTATTCCTTGATATTAGTGCAACAAAGATACTAAGATAGTGAAATGCTGACACTCAAACATCAGGGAACAATAAAGTTAATGTTGAACAAAGCAGTAATGGCTAATTTATGCACCGTGTACCCAAATCCGACCATCGACCTGCACATTCCACACAAACCTGTACATTTGTGGACCTGTGCATCGTCACTCGATACAGATTGTCAAATATCTGTTTAATATCACGTCATAGTATTTGTAGCATATTGATTTTAAGAAAGATCAATCACGGTGTGAAATAGCTACTGCGGCTGACAGATCAGAGACCAAGCCTTCTCCTCATTAAAGTCAAATATCTGCTGCGGATTCTGTCAGTCCTTTTGCTCGGTCATGCATTATTTAGTTCAACCAACAACACTCTTGTGTCAGTCACTATTCAAAGAATATATTGGGAGAGGAAAAAGGCTGGAGATAGATAAGGAGGCTTTTTCAGGACCTTCCTATCAGCGTTTCTTTGAGTGGACCATGAGCAATAGGAGCAGATAGCTGGCAAGTGTACCAAATCTCTGCTTCTACAAGTGCAGCTTATCCTTAAGATTACAAAAAAAAAACTCTTTAAGCATTCGCAGCATGATGAGGAACAACACACAAACCCTTCCTCTACAGAAGCAAAGTTTGAGGCAGTAATATGTGAACAGCATGTCGGAGATGTAAACATTTCAGCAGAAAAACATCCCCCAACAGCAACAGCTGAAGCTGAGCAAGACAGACATGCACAGGGCAGCAGCCCATGGCTACTTAGCACGGAAGCTTGTTACCGTTGGCCAAACATCAACGTGGATTTGGTCTCTGAATCATTGTAGCTGGAGGGAGAGCAACAGATGAACATGGTGGTGCGACAGTTCCCGCCAAGCGAGTCCTGCAAGATGCGAGTCATTTTGCTGTCACGGTACGGCACGTGAGATTTCTACAAAGACATGAAGAGAGGAAGAAAGAGAGGCATAAAAAAAGACTGACAGAAGGCGATTAAAAGAGCTTGGAGGACATTCTGAATAACGGTATTGCACCGTGCGCATGCCTTTCTTCTTAAAAGCTAAATATACGTCTTGTGAGCATCAGAACAGAACAAAGAAAGAAGAGGGTTTTCTCCATCTGCTGCATCATTCACAGTTTTACCTTTTTAACCTCTGGAACGCCTTCAAAAAGATTGTGTCCTTGCTCGATGAACAAAAAAATGAATGCCGCTTGCTTTATGAAAGATTTGTGAGACATTTACAGTCTGTGACCTTTTCGATTAGGTTTATGAGGAGTTCGCTAAGCCTTCTGAGTTATATAATAAGAGATGCTGAGTACTTTAATTACGCCGATGGAGCTTGGAAGGAGTATAGAGTGGGCAGAATGCATTGAGTGGTTGAATTCGCTGGTTAAATTTGGTGAAATATGGAAATAGGTTACCAGCTGTAGCAGCGTTATGGTCTGTGGAAGAAGGGGACAGACTACCTAACATGTCACTGGAAATGTTTGCTTTCTACAATATCTGTGCATGGTAATTATGGCAGTGTAGTGCTAATGTCATGAAAATATTGTTGTTATTGTAAATAAAATATAGTTAAAGGAACAGGTCGACATTAGATGAGAAGATTAAGCAGTTTCGATCTTCTCATCCAGCTCTCGGCAAGAAGGGAAATAAGCACATTTCCAATAAATGCCGAACTACTCCTTTAAGGTAGGGGTATGGGCATATATAAGATAGATAAGAAAGCCTGCAGAGAATTTCTCCACCGTACCGTTCCTTCGGCCAAGGCTGAGATGACGTTCCCCAGGGCCGACAGAGACTTGTTGATGTTCTTGGCCTCATCCAGCACTGCTCCCTCTGCACCCGTCTTACTGACCTGACACACACACACACACACACACACACACACACACACACACACACACA